TATTTATGGAGGAACCCGTCACTGTGTTCACAGATCCCAAGTGAGATGGAAAGGAGAGAGCGAGTCAGGGAGAGAGGCAGATAGATTTAAATGTCACTTTTATGAAAATGTTTCCTCTTGGTTTCCCCTGGACCACCACACAGAAGTTTCCTTTGGTGAAATAAGAGATGTATGCTGATCTATTATCTGGAACTTTGATACACAAAACAAGTAAGATAAAAACCCATGCCTGGAGTTAATTAAAGCATTACATGGTTCTAGATTTTAATATACATTTGTAATTTACATATGTTTTATTAAGCTGTTGCCATCCCTATAGCCCTATAGCTTCTTGCTATATAATTTAGTTCCAATATAAGGTGCATTTAGTAACTGAACTGCCTTAAAGGTGAAGTTGCATATTTTTTCATTGTTTTTAGATCACTATAAGTACAACATGTTTTTAACAGCTTATGATGTTTTACTTTAAATGTCTTTTTCAAAGAGTGTAGAGGTCTACTTTCTCCAACTATTTATAGCCCAGGCACATCTTCTTCATGTTTGCCAATAGTTTTACTCTGTAATTTGCTAGATGTTGAAATCCTGTGCTGGATAAGAGCCCAACAGATTTGCTTTCACAAGTGGACTATCATCGCTGTTGCCATAAGGTTCTACTTGTTAATTGTGCTTGAAACTTTATTTGAATTGGCCTTTGGGAAAGAAAAGCAATATGAATGGACATGGAGACAGAAAGGGAGGTGAGACAAGGCAGGGAGGAAAAAAATTGAAGGCAGAGAGAAAGGGAGAGGGGAAGGGGGAGAAAGAAAAAAATGACCAAAACATGGTTTAAGACTGATTCCACACCTGCAAGAAGAAAAAAAAAACACACAACACCAATCGTGACAAAAGAGGGAGTTGGTATACATACGCATGTTTAAAAACCTCAAACGCAAAATACATGAAGATTACACCATGGTATTCAGACCTACAGTATATGTTGTTGAAGATGTAGCTTAGTATTGAGCATAACTGTGTATCCATGAATGGCTGAATTGAAATACTTGTGGTGCATACACATGAGTATGCTTGTGTATATAGTATTTAAAAGGCTCAAAGCAGGAGAAGATGATAAATAGCAGGTCTGAGGGACCCAGCCCTGCACAGAGAAAACCAACTAGCACCCGCTGAAAGAGGTACCGGTTACTCGAAGGGAGCATATGGGGGGGGGGGGTTGTACACAAGCCGAGTACACAATTTTGGACTCTTCTTTCAGTCCAAACACTATTCAGTTTTCTTTTGAATCAGATGAAGAAAATTGTAGCACATCCCTGAGTTGATTTCTTTAGCACATTTACCCAGTGTTTGAATGGGTTCATAGTCGCCTGGTGAGAGAGGGGAGCATTTACAGTTGATACTGAATAAAAGGGACCCTAAGATGAACTCTTGATGGGAACTTGGTCACCAACAGGCAAGAAATGCAAAAGATCATTCGTTATTAGTTTTTACCTTTAAGAGATAGGAAATCAATAGTCCTACTTCAGGTTAGGATTCAATTCAATTCAGTTTATTTATATAGCGCCAATTCACAACACATGTCATCTCAAGGCACTGTACAGTTTAACCATATCATACAGTCAAATTGATTCAAAGTTTTCTATCTAAGGAAAAAACAGTTGATTGCATTGACTCATTGACTCAAGTGCAATCCCTCACACTAAGCATGCTTGTAGCGACAGAAACAGAGATACAAAAGGCAGCTGTCCCTATGTCCTCCAGCAGTTTAAGCCTATAGCAGCATAACTATAGAGATAGCTCAGGATTTTAAGCCTAGTCTTAAAAGTAGACAGGGTGTCTGCCTCACGGACCAAAACTGGTAGTTGGTTCCACAGGAGAGAAGCCGGATAACTAAAAGATCTGCTTCCCATTCTATTTTTTTTTTTTAGAAATTCTAGGAACCACTAGTAAATCTGCAGATTGAGAGTGATCTGTCATAATAAAAATTAAGGTTCCATAGAAGGAGATCTCTCATTGTCCTTTTTTAGCTGATGCAATATAACCAATGGCCATCTATTTTCTAATGCAGATTGCAAATGTTGATCACTAAAACCTGATGAACAAATGGTTTAATGGCTTTTGCAAATATGTTTATGAGGAAATGGCACAAGTAACAAACTATATTGGAATTTAGAGCTGAGTACTTTATGGGGAGAAATGAGGCTGGCTGAAAAAATATAGAAAAAAGATTACAAATTACAATAGCTCTCAAGAATTAAACTGAAAATATGATTCCATGGAGTTTTTTCAATCTTTATTAAAACTCACACCTAGAAAGTGAATTTAAAATGGCCACTGATGAATTAAAGCTCAGGAAACCCACTGACCATTGTAATTGTAACCTGGTTTGTTTTCAGGTTTGCATATTTTTCTGTGATTTTTTTCTTGTTTTGAATAGAGTCTGGTTCCATCAGATCGGTCAGTCTGTATAGCATCCTTGTGGGAATGTCAGCAGCAGAGGGATAGAGGAATTATGTGTTCAATCTGTTTTTCTTAAGTTTTAAAGGACACTAATTTATCTGCTGCAGATCTTACAGGTCATATCAGCAAACTCCAACAGCCTATTCCTTAAAGGGCATTATCTATATGCATGTATTTTGTAATGTCCTTGAGTTGGCACTGACTCCCACATATTTAGTGTGTTCCATTAAAGCTTTGACAACAACTGCAGCTTACATTTAATAAAGCCATTAATCAACTGTATAAGTTATTAACAGACAAAATGTGTTATATATTTAAAATAACTTACACAGACAGTTGTGCGGAAACTGTTTGTCCAATGGGAATATTGGTATCCCTTCTTTTTTAAATCGCTTTGTAAATGAATAGAAAGTCAGCCTTTTCCGATTGTGTCTGCTCACTGCATACACAGGCTTTGTGTTTGAGAAGTAGTACTGTCTGGTTTAGTCCAAGTATCACCTTTTTCATCTCACAAACATTTCACTTGCATAGAAAAAAAACCACACCATCTCACTACTGGCACAGTAAAATCGATGAAACATGAGGCATCAGTCTTTCGTGTTAATGAAAGAAAGATGGGGCATGAAGTTTATCGCACTGTAAAAGCCAATCAATTTGGCGGCCATCTGGATGTTACAATGGTAATGTCTTTACCAGTCAGTGCCGATATATGCCAAAACTTTTAGCACAAAGATACTGTATCAGGTTAGAGTATATTCTATCTGTTGTGTATGCAAGTCTAACACATAACAGGCTTTGTGGCTGTGACCTTTGGGTCGGGCTTGGGTTGGAGCAGAGCTGATTGGGCAGTGGGAGCATTCAGGTCTAGAACAGTGTGTTCCCTGTTGCCAAATGGGCCAGGACCACAGGGGTCTCAGCCTCCGAGCTGGAAACAACCCACTCACATGCCTCACAGACTATTGTAACTCCAATCTATGATGTAGATCTCCGCTTTTTCTGACTCTGTATGTATTTGTCTTCTTCAGATCTCTAGTACCTTGCAAAAATATTCCCTCTTCTTGAACTTTAACAGCCACTTATTTTGATACACATCTTTTGTAGTTTTATCTGATGGACTGACATAATTTTAGAGCATCACTTTGAAGTCTAGAATATAGTATAGTTCTGTGGTTTTTTATAGTTTTACATAGCTAAAGACCAACATTTTATTATTGCTCCTTAATGTACATAGATGTTTTGATCCACTGTAGTTCTGGATGTGTGTTTTAGTTCATTTTTCTACTGAAAGGGTGGAGCTCCTCTCCAAATGCAAAGTGTTTTGCAGCCTTTTATTAAACAATCATTTTTCATAAATCACACTCTGCTCACTTCTAGCCAACTTCCTAATAAATTAAACAAAGATTCATGCCTCTGATGAAGAAACCCCCCTTTCTTTTTATTATTCTGCCATGCCCATACTCCCATACTTTACCTTTGGAATTGTGTGTTTAGGGTGATATGCAGTGTTGCATTTGAAGAACTTAATTTTGGCTAAAAAGCCCAGCTAGCATCTCAGCATCTATAAACAACGGTGTTGATGGCAGCAGCACAGCTGATATTTGTTTCTCTTGGATGGTTCCACAGCCAAACAGGAACAGGCCAGATGAAGCTGCTATTATGAGAAAAATCAGAGAGAGCATACAGTAATGTTAGAGATTAAACAATCAAATTACTAGAATGAAAACTGGTCCCTATGTCCTCCAGCAGTTTAAGCCTATAGCAGCGTAACTATAGAGATAGTTTGGGATAACTTGAGCCATTCTGACTATAGTGTAAGCTTTATCAAAAAGGAACGTTTTAAGCCTAACCTTAAAAGTAGACTGAGTGTTCGCCACACGGGCTAAAACTGGTAGTTGGTTCCATAGGAGAGGAGCCTGATAACTAAAAGATTTGCCTCCCATTCCACTTTTAGAAATTCTAGGAACCACATCATGTGTGTGATGAGATATATAGTAATGTACCTGTAAAATTTTAAAAACAATAAAAAAAATACAAGACAGGCTGAATATGGATGTTTTAAAATGTAGTAAACACAAATATGTTATAACAGCTTTTTGTGCATTGCTTGGAAAGTAGTTGGTTTAAATCAGATTCTAGTTTATTGCTGTGTGGAAAATGAAAAGCAGAATGCAATATTTTTATCCATTACAGCTGTGTATACTAGAAAGAATAATAACTACTCTTTTATTACATTTTATGGGGCATTACTTGCATTAATGGATGTTTTTTTTTTATACTTTCCCCCACTTGGCTCAGACTGATGTTATTTTTTTCCAGCTTTGCTACAATATTCTAACATTTACTCCTTAAAGAGGAAAAAGAACCTGTATCCATTTTAATGACGAGTGATTATTCTTTTTTTCCAAGCTGGTGCGTTTTAACCCTGCCGATACGAATCCGCTTCATCTCCACTTAGCTTTTAATTTCCTGCATGGCTTTGTTGTTTGCCATCTGATCCCCAGACACCTCGAAACCGTTAACACTTGCACATCTCTCTAATGTTGCAGATGGGACGCCACTGAGTGAGCTGTCCTGGCCCTCTTCTTTAGCAGTCGTAGCCATCTCCTTCTCTGGTCTCTTCACGTTTGTCTTCCTCATGTTGGCCTGCCTTTGCTGCAAGAAGGGAGACATTGGCTTCAAGGTGAGCTCCCTGCTGCACACATCTGGAAGCATGAGTGTTTTTTTTGATGTAAAAAATAACGGTGAGCATAGTGCTCACAAACACAGATGGCGCAGACAGATGACCAAGAATTCCCTTTGCAGATTCTCCATCGTGGAGTCCAACAGGAACAACATAACTTCTTAGTCATGGAACAGAAAAACAGTTAGTTACTCTGGTTGAAAAAATCGGCCAGCTGTTTTCAATTTTAATTGTTTTTCATTTTCTCTTGTGATAAGCATGTTTATAAAAGTGTTTTATTAAATGTTTTAATCAGGAAAACATAGCATGTTTAAGCTACATGTCCAGATCAAGGTCCTTTTTGTTTGTAAGAATATTCAATAAGAATTTTAAATTTCTCTTTCACGCCTTTTAATTACCACAGCTTTAATGCTAAATATTGGACGCTACAGCCATGCTTTTAGACTAAAATGAACTAGTGCTGCATTGCTGCTGCTGTAAAAAAGACAATAAGAAATAAAATGAGGCCGACAGTTTAATAGAAAATCTACTCATGGGCATTAACAATCGATTTCCCAAATCCTGTGTCGTTCTCCTCCCTAACAGTCATGAAAGTAAAGACTTTTAGACATCTACTCACTGTGAACCTTTCAAATAATAAGGTAACAGTCACTGGTTTGATGTGTGATTAAGTAGGTTGGGGATGAGGTGGTAAATATGAGCACTGATGAGAAGGGGTGAAGCTTCACAGATGGGAAGAATTAGTGATAATGCCAGGATTAGAGATTAATGTAAACAAGTCAGTTACTTTGCCAGAATCATGACAATTTCATTATATGTAATGTAAGTCATTTCCCAAAAGCCATAACAGGCTGACACATTATTTCTGTTGTCTTTGCCTGTAAGTGAGTCTGAGTCATATTGTGTCAAATTTATGCACTAAACCAAGCAAGAGATCAAGGCTAATTGTAAATGACACAGTCTTAATGCATATAGGGGAATACAAAGTTGTAAAATATCTGAAGCTACTAAATATGCTGCACCCAGACTTTTAAACTTCCCCTTTAATGTGTTGCTCTTACGGTGAATTACCATTTAGACATCTTTAAGTTTTGTCAAGTCAATTTGTTCATGCGTTTTAATGGCTTACTTCCTTTAGCTTTAAAGTAGATAAATTATAGTCTCAACTATAGCAGTAGAATTTTCACTCAAGATCTAAGCCTGTAATCTAACACTTAGTGAAAGAACACTGGTCTGTTTTTGATATGGTATGCTCATTGCGCATTTCATAACAAGTGGCTGCTTCTTAACAGCTTAGAGAGTATAGACATGGATGCCCTAGTTGGGAGATCATGCGTTCCAAACAGAAATAATGTTGTTGTTTTTTTTTTTTCACTAAATTAATTACCATCATTACTTTTTTGCTAAAATGTTAATTCTGTGCATGGTGAAGAGCTTCAAATGTCACTGCTACAGCCTGGAAGATATATGCAGCTAGTTGCTTCAACCTAAAATTACCAGTTGTAATTGTGAAAAAATGCTTTTCTGCCAGAGTTTTAAAAAGGAGTTAAAGAAAAACCTCCCTTCAAAATAACTGCTCTCAAACTAGAATGCTAAGCCTTAGACCAAAGCTTCATCAGAGGTAATCAGTGCTGTGCCATGTAATTGAAGTCTTCACTATGCTGTCAATGAGCCATTCAAGTCATCTAGAGTGTTATATCTGATTTACAATGGGTGATAGGGAAGGATCATGCTTTGCTCATGATACTTATGAAGTCAGTTCATTTCCTGTTAATTTTATATTTCCTTCTCATTCCTATACATCTGAGTGAACTGATCATTTTGATTAGGGGACTTTTATATGAAAAACAGACCATTGTGTATATGTTGAGTTGAAGCAAAGCTACTCAGAGATGAAGGAAGGTGGGACGAAAAATGCATTAAATTGTTATTTGTATTTCTTTTCTAGCTTTTTGAAGAAGTAGAATGATAATAGTGGGGACTTCATAGATTTGTTAGACTGCAGGAAGAAATCTTACTTTCTTGGACAAAAAATGGGAGAGGAAGAAATAATGTTTAATCCTTCCATGTTTTTTTTTCAGATTAGACTCCCCTAACAAAAAATCATTAGTGCTGTTGATTGCCTTGGTTCTGGAGAAATGTCTTGGTCACGTGGAGGATGTGAATTGATTAAACTTCAGCTGGTTTCAGGCAAAATAAAGGAGGATACATCCATTACTACTTACAAAGTCTTCCAGTGTATCTTACTGTTCCAGATATGCCGTGCAGTTATTACTAATAAGTATTTTGAAAGTGTATAGGTGTCCTGCACCATTGACATCATTAACCCACTGCAGTCCCTCGACCCCCCACGCCCCCCCAACACACTGAAAAAAGCTAAATTGGTATATTTTGAAATTTGACTACAGTAGCAGCCATTCAAAATGGCCATTCCAAGTCAAACACCAGCCGAATGGCAGCCCATTTCTCTGCAACTCCCAGCTAAATCCCCTCCAACTTCAAGCCACTGGAGTGGCCCCTCTTGGATATTTTTTTTACTCTGGCTCCACCCCTTCACTGGATTACAGGGTCTGCCCAGGAGATACAGCATCTCTTTAGATGTTAATGTCCACAAATCATGACGGAAAGAATATTTTAGTACAAAGATTGATGCTTAAAAAGGAATTGTAGGTGACCAGCCAAGGGCCCATTAAGGAAGGTGGGGAAATTTTGAATGGCTACTACTGTATGTTTATTCAGTCAGAAATACATTAGCTTGTTGTTTGTGCAGCTTATTTTCATCATATTAATTCTATTAGTGGATACCAAATGGGTTGTATTACTTCACATCATTTTAATGTCACCTAATTAAACCTAACATGCATGTTTTCCTGAATCATTAAAAAAACATAACACAAAAATGTGTATCTCTTTAAGCCTCCAACCACCGTGCTTGACTGCAATGATGGGAGGTTAAAAAATCTCCAGAGCTCACTTTTACATAGTGTCTTGGCATGTAATTGTCACTTACAGACGCTATTTTGTAATAATGCCTGGATGCAATAAAAATAAATGGAAATATAGAGTTTGTTGAACTCTACTAAATCTTAACTGGAGACATGTATTTTGGTAGGATTAAACTGATTTAGTCATGCATTATCAAAAACCATATGTGTTAAGTATGGTAAATGATCTGACCTGCTTTACTTTTAAAGTTCTTGGAAGATTTGTTAGTGCACATAACATCCTTTTTTTTGAAATACAAGGAAATAAAAGGTTTAAAAACAAATTTACAGAATCCAGTAAGCTAAAGATAGGTTGACAAATGGTCAATATGTTTGGCCAATCCTAGGGAACTCAAAATCTCCTTGGGGTTTAAATAATATAGGAGTAAGCAGTATAAAAAAGGTTGTTTCTCTTTGTTTTGACCAGCCTTGTTTCTGGTTGATCATATTAAAGTGGAGCTATCAATTACTACAGCACATCATCTCTAAAATGAACATTTGGCCAACAAACATTTGCCTCTGAACGACTCAGTGTTTTGTTAATGGACGCCTACAGGGAACCTAGTCAGAGCTTTGAACAACATTTTACCATCAATGCAGTTACTACTGAATATATAATGCATTCATATAGCATCAGGAGTGACAAGAAATACTTCAGTAGTTCCAACACTTTATCTGATTTGACCATGACTCATCAGTCAAACGCTTTTTGGTTAGGTGCGCTTTCTTGTGGGCCTGCCCTGTGGTAAAAGCTCCATTATTATTCTCCCTTATTGTGTTCCTACTGGAGCGTGCAATGTGTGGCTGGATATTAAGTGCTTTCTAAACTGAAGGCTCTCCGGGGATTTATGCACTGCTGACTCACAGCCAGGTGCTCGCTTTCACACTTCACTCCGGGGAGAGTGGCAGATGGTCGTCTTGAATGAGAAGTGCACCTACACACATTCCTATGCACACATGTTTAACAGCAAACACATACATAGCCATCCTGATAAATTAAATATTAGTCCAACCTCTCTTTACTATCTGGTACTAAATCAGTTTTCCCCTTTATTTTAACTGCATATAACTGCTGTTACCCCAAGTTTTATTTCATGATTGGTTCTTGAACTATAGATACCCAGAGGACCATTAAGTAGCTTTATGTACACGAAGACAGCCCTATAGCCTGATCTCCTGCAAAAAAAAAAATAATAAAATGAAAATAAAATAACATTTATTACATAGACTAAAAATATGGAATGATATAGTTATATTTTAGGGTGATCATGTGGTTAGATATTGACCTTTGGACATGAAACAGTATCTGTTACAAAGATGTCATTATTAATTCTTTTGTGATAAATCATAGTAATAAATATTAAAATACTAAATATAAAAATGCAACATTAGGATTTCAAACACTTTTTTTATTATAAGGATGGACTATATCTTCTTTAACAATCCTATCTGCAATGCAGCCACAAGGTTGCCTCTTTTCCTCTGTTGCAAAACCAGCTTCAAGTAGATATTAAATACCATATTTTATGGTAAACTGCCTCTTGCAATCAGTATTGCTCTTTGAGAATTGGATGCATTTTGGGCTTACAGTAGTTTGCATAAATTTACATAAATACAGTTATGCTCTTCCTCTAAATGCATAACTAGCACCTTGTTAAAACTTGGGCTAACTATATCAGCACAAGAGGCTGTTTACTTGACAGCATAATTTGGGAAGCAAATTGAAATGATTTATAAAAACAAAGTTGTGTGTTTTGCAATTGAAAATTGGTCACAGTCCAGCTGTGAACGAGCTTAGTAGTATACCCTGAGAAGTGTTTGTCACAGGCTAAATACAAGAATCTTTAGAATAGAATAGCTATAATTTTTAAGTAAAACATAATACCACAAATTTAGCATATAGTGCTTCAGATAAGACAATATCCTAATCAATATAAGGATATAATATGTAGAAAAAGGAAATCCACCTTAGAAAAAAGTACATAACTGTTTCCTACTCACATCTCAAAAGTGAGTTCTTGATAAGCATATTTTTGTGGTTTCTATGATTAATCTCTCAATTGCACCAACTGAAATGTGTTGGGCACATACAGTAGTAATATCAACAAAGGCCTAAAGGGGAAAAAAGGGCTGTGTTATATATTTATTATATTATAGAATTGCAAACAATTATATAACCCTAATCCGAGTTGGAAAATAAAGGTGCTGTCAAGGCTGCAATTGAAAAGCAAAATGAAGGAATAAAGTGTCTGTAATTTCTCTTAAATGTGGAACATATGAGAAAAGCCTCTGTTCATTTGGGCAGTAGGATATAATATTTGACAAGCAAGCTGACGTAGCATATGAGAACCCCTATGGTTTGATTTAAAATGATCCAGAGAGATTTAAGATGATGCTGGGACATCCAGTATATTCTATCATATGATATATGACATCATTTGATGGCTGGACTGCACAGTGAACAAGGACACTGCAGTGGAGCGAGGAGCAGGAAGATTGGTTGTAGAAATAAATTAGACACAACACAAGGAGGCAGTAGGTGGGATTTCTGGTAAGAAGGAGCGGCACAGCTTTTCACTGCTACAGCTGGTTGTGTGTGCGTGGGGAGAGATGCATACATGTTTGGGGTGGGGGTGCAACGTGAGTAAAGGCCATTTTACCGCAATGACTAAATATGTATAACTCTAAGTTTAAAAGGTTAGTTGTACTTTAGGTAAAATAATATACAGCTTCAGTTTTGGTATAGCATGGCATCATAAAGCAGTGTCTTGTGAGAGTATTCATTACCCTTAAAATTATCCACATTTTTCATGTTACAACCAAAAGCCACAATAATTTGGGGATTTTATGTAATAGACAAAAACAAAGCAGCACCAATTTGTGAAGTAGAAGAAAAATTAGGGTGGTTTTCTATTTTTTCACATATAGACATCTAAAAAGTGTGTTGTGCATCTGTTTTTATCTTCGTTTACTCCTTTACTCTAACATCACTTATATACAGTTAGTTTTGAACACTTGACTCAGACGTTATCTACTTGTGCCACCAGTTCCTGTATGCAATTTTAACTTAGTATAAAGGCATTTATGTTCAATTCAAAAATACTTTATTGATTCCAAAGGGAAATTAAATGTTGTTTTTACTCATCAGGTTTTTAAGCGAATTGTTGCAAAATGTTGATAAGGCAGGAATGATCTTCTGTAACCGTCTGTCCTGCTTTCTGTACTTGAACTGCTCCTCCTTTGCTTGGTTCGTGACCTCACATCTCTGTAATTGTTCTGCTGGAACTTGCTTTGCAGCTTTTTACTGTATATCTCCTTGCATTCTCTCATTTTGACCTTAAGTTGCTTCTTTATACTCCTTAATGATTCCCTGTCTCTCTTCCCAGAGGCTCCTTTACTCTTGTTGATCAGTTCATTCAAATCACTGGAATGAATTTGGCTCTTGTGTCTCTACCTTAGCAACAATGGAACTGATCACCCACAGTATGAGCAACAACAGAAGTAGGAATGTAAAAGGTTAATAAAATGCCACCATTAAACCCTGGGAAAATACTATGAATAAAGCCAACTGCCAGATGTTCAATATCTTGGTTGCAGAGAAGCATTTTCACAGAAACATGTGATAGAGTCAGAGATATGGTCCTGCAGAACTGTTTCAGTAAAACACATAATTCTACATTGCCAGTATATTGGCTTGGTCCTTGCTAGGGCTTTGAGTTCTTTTAACTTGTTTCCTAAAGTTATTAAATTACCCATGATGATTTATAGAAGAGATGGCTTGTTTTTCCCTGTCCTCTCTCTTATCCTTGCTCCTACTCTGCATCCTCAGTGCCTCTTTTTCATTGAGCTTGTACATGCAAAAGTTATTTAAGTATTAAAGAGATTAGAGAGTATTAAAGTATTAAAGAGTAAGAGATGTTGAGAGTGTCCGCTTGAGAGACCTGAGCCAGTCCTAGGTCTAAAAAAAACCAACTCACTATGGTTAATATGGCTATATATCATAAGAAATATCCAAAAAGAAAAATACTGGCAAAAATCCTTTCAGTTGTAAAGCATTAAACATCAGAGGCAAAAATACTGTAAAAAAGAAATTCTCCTCCATAAACTCAGGAACAAAATTTGTCTTAAAAAAGAACATTAGAATATTGCTAAAAGAGCTATTCTAAGATGCAGCTACCCTAAGCAACACAATTATTTTGTAAAATAAAGTGGGAGCAGCATCATTGTGTGGAGATGCTTTTCTGCAGCGAAGAAAAAAGAAAGAAGTTGGTTTGAGTCGGAGGCTGTCACAAATTTGAAATGAAAGTTAGGTGTCACCTCTAAACTGGGCAATAGCCCTAAATATACAACCAAAGCTAAAACAGTGTGGCTTCAGTGAAGGCATTTTATGATAGAAGAACCTCAAGTCCAGACATAAATATAATTGAAATTCTGTGGAAAGATTGTTCAGAGCAATATTTCACATAATCTGATAGATATTCAGCTGTTTTATATTGCCTCTCTCAACATGTCCAGATACAGACAAAAAGCAATTGTATTTGGGGCTGTTTGTCTATTATAAAGTTAGTTCCTAACTTTAAGTTTGTTCCTGTGGAGGTCGGAATATAAAGAGGTTTGCAATTTCTAGAGTTTCCTTTGTTGAAGACACTTTGAACTATGTATCATTTTCCATCCACTTCTTGGTGATATGCATCATTATTTTAATCCAGTTAAAATACATTTATGTTTAGTAAGTATTGCTTTCTACTTTAAGGCTCTAATCACTGAATTTAAACCTCGGTGTGTATTTTATTTTATTTTAATGTTGATGTATTTGACAACTCACTAAGTCTCACAGTTAGAACTTAAACTAGTGGATAAGATCAGTGAATGAAAATATAAGGTCACAATTTGAAATATAACCCCAAATTTAAAAAGGACAATTATTTGGTGTTGAGAAACATATTTTTTAAAGCAGTTATTTTGAAAACTGAGAAAAAAAATACATTAAATTATATATTAGATTTTGTTTGATAATTAGAGAATAAAATGGATAACTTCTGATGTGAATATATTAATGTAAATTCCTGTGTATAGAGTTTAAAGAACAGTTAGTATTAGTGTGTGACCATCTCAGTGTAGGGTACAATCTATATGACTAATGTATATGGGTAGAATGTGCCTCAGTGTATTTTAATGCCTGCACAGTGTATTCATTGTCTACCACCCTCCAGTTGCGAGCGTATGACTAATCCCAGTGTCTGACCTCGCACCAGGAATTTGAAAACACAGAGGGAGAAGAGTACCAGGCAGACCTCTCCGCTCTGGCCTCGCCTTCCTCTCAGAATGGGCCTGAGGTTTACATCCTTCCCCTCACCGAGGTCTCCCTCCCCGTCTCAAAACAGCCTGGAAGATCAAGTAAGAAATCATACCATCACCTTTTTCTTTTTTTTTCTAAAAGTGATAGCCAGCTTTTTGCAGGAAGTTTCAGGACATTTCAGATGACACAACAGCTTTGTAAGGTTTTGATTAAATATCAAAATTGAGGCCTACTTATGAATATATTTAAAAAATTAATCAATATTCTATACATATGGAAGACAACTGGGAATTTCCACCGCTCTAGTTCATTCTTTAGTACAATTTTTAGATGTGTGAAAGTGCAACAATAGATGCAAATACACTAGTATAAGCGGTTGATTGTATGTATTCGGTGTGTCAGTAAAGATGTGATTCTGTGTATCATGGTGGAAAGCAAGAGTTATACAAAGCCTCTTGACCCTAAGCCCAATGTCAGATAAAGCACAAATTGCCTTAAGAACAACCAATTCAATATTTTACAGTTCTTATCCGAAGCTTTAAACTGAGTCCAATTGAAAATGTATGTGCAGCGCTGAAAAGTTGTGTGTGAGCAAGGTGATATCACATTGTTTGGGGGTTTGAAAAGGACCCAAATGCAGAGACGGAAAGAAGCAGAAATTAGTTTTTGCTGATTTAATGCAGATCCAACACAAAACAAGCAACGTTCAAACACAAAATACAGAAAACCAAAAAGCCAAAAGATGCCATGCAAAAAAAACACATTAGGAACAAGCAATAACAAACTGTACGATAGGGGTATAAATGGAAGACTCAATAAAGATTTGGATAACGAGGAGCAGGTGTGGATGGAAGAATCTAGAAGAGAGCTAGAGGAAGGAGACTGACACAAGGGGGCACAGGAGGGTAAACAAGAAATACATAAAAACTCAAATACAACCAGAAAACAACACAAAATGGAAATTAAACCAATGAAAACACAAAAAGAAAACTTAAACAGAACCAAAACCATGACAGGTGGCCTAAAACCGGACTCAGCTGCACCAGTTCTCTTAAAAATTCCAGCAAAGTTAGAAGCTTGCAGAAAGGTGTCCAAGTCATTTGACGCAAATCATTCAGTAAAAAAGGCAAATCCACCAAATATTAAAGAAAGGTTTGTTATATCCTGTGCTTGAAGAATGTACTTAGATTATTTAGCATTTTTTGGTCATTTTATTTAACATAAAAGAACAGTTCAGACTTATTTGGTGTTAAAATTCTATAATTGTGTGTTCACATCTAATATTTCTGTATCATATCATTTAAAGTACCAAAAGAAGCATATATTTCATGCATTTTCTCCTTGATCAATTTGCTTTATCTAAGGAAAGATTGATTTTAATGTTTTTACTTTACATTCTATTATCTAAAACCTGTCTATTTAATCCGCTTGTATGTTATCATGTCATCCTATTTCATGTTGAAATGTGCGTGCTCATTTATGTGTCAGCATGTGGCACATCCTCGATTTGTCTCACCCCTTCATGACTCACCAGCTGTCTGCTCTGCGCTGAGCTTAGTCAAAAAGAAAGGTTTGTAGCTGCTGCTCTTCGGCATCCTTGGATGAGAGCATCAGCAGTGATTGGACGAGGCAGCCTCCAGCTTGCAGCCAATCGTGAGCCATGCCTCTGTCCCTTGTAGCGACGGCTGTGTGATTGGTGCAGGTGTTGCAGGGCGAGGAATGAACACGCGGCGTTAGGAGACAATGTGAAAACCAGATTGTTTTTACCTCAGAGTAAGGAAAATGATGATCACATTATATGCATACATGCTTGGTTATTTATTTGATATAAATACTACATGAAGAAGATTTCTCATTGCATAAACCATAAATGCTGCTTGTTTTGTGATTTAAAGATCCATTCTAGATGCTCTGCACAGAGAGCTTGGCGTTTGCCATTTATAAAACATCAATCTTTTTCAAGTTGTTGCTGTAATAATGCTTATCCACAGATGCTTTAAAGCGTTTGTGCAAGTTTGTTTCATTCCACTGATTGTGCCCTATTCTTTGGGAATGTCATGAAAAGGAGATGAGAGAGATATACAATCATACACAAACTATCCAAGTTAGGAATATATCAGTATCTTCAATATTTACTCGCCAACTCTTTAATCAAGGGTGGAATTATCAGTGAGCTTGGGTAATTGTGAAGGAAAGTATTGGGCCTGTTATCGCTGTGACAACCTCCATCCAGCGTTTCAGCAGAGAATGGACCTTGTGTTTCTGTGTGTTTCTGCTGGGTGGACTAGGTACGAATAGACACAGGGTGAGTGTGTGAGCGAACTGAACAATTGCCCTGCTTTAAGGTGGCTGGCCAGTGGGAGAGTGTAAGGCCGGGCTAAAACGTCTGTGGAACGCATCAGCGGAGGACTGGCATTGTGGGGTGAATACAGTGAGGGGTTTGTGACAGGATGGAGAGAGACAGGGAAGGGTTGGTGGCATGCACCAGGGCCTAAGAGCGGGGGGGTGAATGTGTATGACAGAGATCTTTTTTTGTATTGGACAGAGCAGTGTTTGTTTCATCTTCAGTTAAGGAATGTTGCTGCCCTGGGTGACAGGGGGGGCATTATGTGGACCTTATGTCATTACGGGTTGACTTTAAGCAGCACACAAGGCTTCTGCGTCAAACGGCATACAACCAACATGCGTGACGGTCACATCGGGCTCGACGCACATTCAGAAAATCTGCATCACAGGAGGAAGGAGCCATAGATAGACTGAGTCAGTGGATTCTATTTTTTTTTTACTTTCTGTTTATTGTGTGTTCAGTATAGCCAGTTTAAAATTCAAGGATTTAAGCATTTGCTCAACAGCTGGAAAGCATAGAGAGGCCAGTGTGCATGTTTGTGTGTATGTCCCAGTTGGAGAATGAGCTCGCTGCAGATGGGGAGAGACAGTGTGGTGAGCTTGTTCAGCTGTTGGAGGGCTCTGTGGGTTAAATCCTCCCGAGGCTGTCTCACACACAGTATGACCATTGGGCTCTCTTTTACACACACACAACAAGCGCTGAGATGTCTGGGGCAGGAGCTGGGGCCTCAGGCTCTCGGTTCTCACACTTTGAACCGGCACCCTATCTCAGATGGGGTCATGGACTCAGACCCCGTCATGGTATTCAGCGCGGCCGGTTGCTCTGCCTTGCTGTCATTATCTTCTCTAACCTCACCATCAACATCTCTGATTCCTGAATCATGAGGATTCAAGGAGGTAATCTAATCTCTAGACTTTGCTTATTTATTGCTCTTTTGCCATTTTTAGCCAAGATGCTGAGTTTATATATGTGCAGACAAACTTGATGATTTTTTTTTTACGAAAAGTGAACTCCCTACTTTATGTAGCTCTCAGGGTTTGTGGTTTACTTTTGCAATTCCATATTTTAAAGAAGCTCCTTCATATCTGATTGTTTTGTTTTTTTTCAGACAGCATGCTGTTTCTTATAATCTCTGGTCAGCTTTTGCATTCTGCAGTTTTGTCGATCTTAGTATAGTATTTTAATGTGTTCTTTGTTGTTCCTTTTCAGTACAGCTGTTGAAATCGTCTGACATTGGCCGCCACAGTCTGCTGTATCTGAAAGAGATCGGACATGGCTGGTTTGGAAAAGTAATATGTTTATCTTTTTTAGCTTTTAACATAGTTCTGTACACAATCCAGAAACATTGGTTTACCTCCATTATCAGAATTCATTGCTATAATTCAAAATCTGTACTATCTTCGCTATATTTTAGGCTTGTTAAACTTTGTAATTTGAGGTTCATTTGATCAGGAGTTGAGGCAAATCTTTGGCACTTATGTCAGTGTCAGTTCTGTTGGAGATGAGCAGAGATTCATATTTTAACTTAGAATCTAACTGATGGTAATGAAACACTTGGATTTTTTTTTTTAGCAACTCCTCTTTACCACTCTAAAGCTTCTGCTTTATATTAGCAATGCTTTGAATTAAGTCTAGGTTTGTAAAAAGCTGGGATCTCCTGTTCCTTCCTACCATAATCTCATAGGTTCTGTTGGGGGAGGTCTCTGCAGGCGTCAGCACCACCCAGGTAGTGGTGAAGGAGCTGAAGGCCAGTTCAAGCGTTCAGGATCAGATCCAATTCCTGGAAGAGGCTCAGCCATATAGGTCAGTGCCACAAACATGTTGGCTCACCAAACTAACAAACTTCTGTTTCTGTTATTCATACCACTGTATATATGGATGGATGCAGCTTAAATGTTTGCTGTTCTTCCAGAAGCCTTCAGCACCCTGCCCTCCTGCAGTGCCTGGCACAGTGTTCTGAGGTCACTCCCTATCTGCTGGTCATGGAGTTTTGTCCTTTGGTATGAAAACTATTTAGATTGAGATGTTATTTGCTTTTTAATAAGTACCTCCTTGTTTCTGTGCATGGCTCTCTGTAGCTTGTAGTCGCACACAGACAGAACACCTAATACCCTCATTTCCTATTTTCCTCCTTTCAGGGGGATCTTAAGAATTACCTCAGCAGCTGTCGGGCGACTGACTCTGAGACTCTAGACGCCTTGATTCTCCAGAGAATGGCTTGCGACATCGCTTCAGGGCTTGTTCACCTTCACAAATATAATTTTATCCACAGGTACGTAAACAATAGTTTCTGTCTTTTTGCGTTCAAGCTGCTTTTATTGCACAACATGAGCAACATCAACATGAAGGCTTTGTGTGCCACCTGTTGGTTACCTCCTGCAACAACATCCTGGTGCTGCCTGAGTAGTTGACACAAACTCCAGCATCAGTGATTTTGTTGCTGGTGGTGAACCCCAATTCATTCTTTTGATGGCCCAACGGAAAGGCGCAGCATTTAAAGGAGGTAATATTAGATTAAATGTTTTATCCCTGAAACAACCATATGAAAACAGCTGTAGACTCATATAAACAGTATTTATACACACTTGGTGCATTTTGTGGAAAAGTCTAAATTAATTTTAGGATTTTTTTTTTTTGGCACCACAGTGATCTGGCCCTGCGAAACTGCCTTCTTACTTCAGAAATGTCTGTCAAGATCGGCGACTACGGGCTGTCTCACAGCCAATATAAGGTCAGCCCTTGATTAAAAAGTCACTTTTTCTTTCACTTTTATTTATCCTTTTAGTGATAAAGCCTGTGTTTTGTGTTTATTTATGTAGGATGACTACTTCATCACACAAGACCAGATTTGGGTTCCTCTGCGCTGGATCGCACCGGAACTCATAGATGAGGTCCATGGAAACCTGCTGGTTGTTGATCAAACCAAAAGCAGCAACATATGGTGAGAGATTTAAAAAGTGTATTAAATTAATTAATTAAGGATTAAATTAAATTCTGCTAAAGATGTAACTGTAATCATCTTATTTTTTAGTCTTTTACTTCAACTATGCTTTCTTTTATGATCAGAAAAATGTTTTTGTGAAGTGATGTGAAAAATATGTCCAAATATTTGTATTTAACTATTAGGAAAAAAAGCTATCCAAACCAACCTGCCACTCTGGGAAAATGTAATTGCCTGTAATTATAATTGCCTCTTTAAGTAATGTATCACCTGTTATCCTCATTTTTGGAGTCTAGTTCACTAGCCACACTCAGACAGAACAGTATCAGTGATCTATTAGTGGATCAATTTCCAAGCCTTGGCAGTTTAATAAAATAGAGAGGACATGTGACTACTGTAAACGTTTCAATCTTTAACACATCGTTTCAAGTAACAATCGACAACTCACTCAGAGGATCACAGAAGATCTGAAACATATTTTAAAGCTCTGACCTCAAATATCTTAAAAAAGAAGATTATTTAACTGGCAGCAATGGGAAAGATTCACAGTAAAATCAACAGTTGAAGACAACACAAAATAACAATCACACATTTTCTCCCAAACTAATAATATGAGGACAAATAAGTCAACATATAAATTGCTTTCCATTACATCTGATGTAAAACTAGCAGAGACTTTCTTGAAAAAAAACATCTTTTTTACAGTTGAGCATTTTTTTTTGAAAATATAGTCAAATGAGGTCAGTGGCGTGCATACTTTTTTAATGGCAGGGACAGAAATAAAATAAAAGGACTCAATGCGCTTCCTCCCCACTGTAAAGAGAACTGTGATAAATTTTTTTTAGCACAATAGGCAGGGCGGCCGCCCCACCTGCCCCCGTCCATGTACACATCACTGCTTTAGATTTCACTATTATTTTAATAAAGGACAGATTACTTTTATCTTGGCCCTGAGATCTTATTTTTCATTCATGAATACATGTATTGTAATAACAATAAAATATGCTGCTTGCTGTATTGGCTGCTTCAAGCTGCCCATCAAGATTTATGGATGTCTTTCAATAACTGTAATTCAATCTGACTATAAAAATCTAACTGAACTATTTTAATATTAATGTTGATTTTAATACATGGCTGCTGGAGGGTACTCAGTGTTGTCCTTCAAACAACTGCAGTCCATTTTTACTTCATAGTGATCATTATGTAGGGAAAATCATTTTATTTTTTTATAAATATTAAATATTTATAAATTTATAATTTTTTTTTTATGGTAACGAGAGGAAAATTTCACAGACTCTGTAAGGATGCTAACTTGCATGTCCTTGAACACAATGTTTTTATGCTCTACTTTTTCACTGGAACTAGGAGGGGGATTGGGGGCTGCTGCTGGCAGAGCATCTGTTGAAGGGCAGTTTTTTAATTTAAATTTCTTCCTAAACATTTAATAGCCCTAAAAATGTTCCTGTTGCTTGGTCGGTTTGTATAAATGTAAATTCTCAGCTCTGTGAGCTATCTGTTTTAGTTGCTTAGGCTTAGTGTTATTTACAGACACACTATAGGCTCATTACAAATGCTGAATAAATCCTGGTTAAATAAAAAAAAACTAACAAAAAAAAAAAAAACTTGCAATCATTTTCAGTTTAAGACTAACAGCAGAGCCCAGCTAGCTGATATTATTAATAATGTGATTCCCTGCGACATTAAGGAGTAGTTATTACGTAGTTGTAGACAGCAGATAGCTACCTTATTTACACAACAGGTTAATAATCAACTGTTACTTAGTTAACAAACCTTTCTTGAAAAATTACGTCATGTATTTGACGTCTTCCTCCGTCTCTTCTCTTTCTCCTTTCTTTCTGTTCTTTTTTGAAAAACCAGTCTTTGATTTTTGGTGATGCTGCATTCTTCAGTGACGGAAGAGTTTTCCACAGTGCTGCTTATTTACATATTTTCTTATTCATTTGTTTTATTCGTTCTCGGACTGTCAAGTGATGCGTGTGTGGCACTAAAGCTCCGGTACTAGCAAACTGTTGATTAGCCAGTTGGCTGATGATACAGTTTTGTTTCTAAATGACGAGTCACCTGTGCTTTGGGCAATAAATACACTTTAAAGTTTCACTAAGGCTTCTGGCTTGTCCCGTAATTTCAATAAATGTGAACTATTATAGCTGAATAAATGCTCACACTGTATTTCTGGAAAACCTGTTACGGATTCTGTAACATATCTGGGCATCAGTATCGCTAATAATATTAACAGAGGTATTATTATTTTTACACCAATCCTTGAAAAATCAAAAAAAAATATTTAATAGCTTGTTACAAAGAGATCTGTCCCTAAGAGGTAGAGCTTTGCCTTCTTTGATATCTAATAATATTCAGTCTGGTTTCCTTCTCTGTTTTGAAAATGTTTTGTTTGGTATCACAGAAGAGTAAAGTAATGCACAAAAATACTTTTTTAAAGCTCTTTATAATGGATGTTAAACTGTATCTTGAATCAATCTCTGACTTAATTAACTAAAAGACCATTAAAACAAAGAATATTTGCACTGAATATAATTTATTTGTGTAACTCACTTTTGTTTATTTTCTTCTGTTTTTTTTTCTTTTAATTTCCTTTCTATGGTTTTGTCATAGCATGTTGAGAGGTATATTTTTTTCCTCTTCTTTTATGTTGCTTGTGTTGTTTATTTATTCATTATTTTTGTCTTGTACTTTTTCTACTAAATTGTAGCCTTTGTACTATTTGCAAATAAATAAAGTTTAACAGAAAAAGACAATAGCACTCATAATGCGCTTAGTTGATGATATACGGGGACCTGATGTGCCAAGGTACGACCTGAGTGCCAAACTCTTGCAATTTCACAGGATGGGTTGGTTCAGCAGCCAGGGGTTGTTTTGCTCTTCACTGCAGAGAAATCTGTAAAAACACAAAGTTAAAATATTTTACTGCTGGATGTTCTTATGTATTTGAAATATATTTTCAGTTCAGTTCTGTTTATTTACATACCGGTAATGCCAATTCACAGCATGTCATATCAAGGCACTTTACGGAGATTCAACCAGATCATACAGTCAAATTGATTCAAAGTTTTCTATCTAAGGAAAACCAGTTGATTGCATCGACTCATTGACTTGAAGACAATCCCTCACACAAAACATGCTTATAGTGACATTAGAGAGGGAAAACTTCCTTTTAACAGGAAGAAACATCGAGCACCAGAACCAGGCTCAGTGTGAGGGGCCATCTGCCGAGGCCGACTGGGGTTCAAGAATACAGAAGCAGGCATACAGGAAGAAGCAGAGATACAAAAGAACTTGTCCTCCAGCTCCACAGACGGCCCCGTACAGAAAAACATAGCCAGGGAGACAAGCTCCGAGCCCGTTTCCAAGTCAGAGGACGAAGTGAGCACATCCAGCCAGTCACAGTCAGGGAAACAGGTCTACACTGAAAAATAGGCTGAGCTCAAACATCTATTACAAAGATGTTGTTGATGGGAGCAACACAGCTGATATTTCTTACCAGGATGATACCATAGCCAAACAGGAAGAGGCCAAATTAAGCTACTATGAGAAAACCAGAGAGACCATAACATTAGAGATTGAACTAACAAGTTATGCAGAGTAGGAGAATAGATATAGAATGAAGCAGAATGATGAAAAAGGGTTCCCTATGTCCTCCAGCGGTCTAAGCCTATAGCAACACAACTATAGAGATAGCACTGGATAACCTGAGCCACTCTAACTATAAGCTATATATATATATATATATATATATATATATATATATATATATATATACATACCACACAGAGAAAACAGTTTTTATATATAAATTCCTCACACAGCTTGTAATGTGTAAGAAAATAAGACAACAACCTCAATTTCAGTGTTAAAGGTTCATAGCATTACAGAATAGACTTGTCCAAAATTACTTCACTGGCATATAATAGCCTCATGCTAGTTATTGCAAATTCAGGAATTCTAGATTCCAGCTGTTGCCAAGGGTTACCTAACCAAGGTGCAATATCTTACAAACTCATATTGATTTTGACAGCTCTCTTGATAAATAAAACCATAACATGAAGATTGCTTTTCACTCTTGCTAAGGTTTTCATTTTTGTATTTTTAGTAATATGAACAATTTAATTGTGATAAAAAAGATTAACGACAAACTTCATCAAGCTCCAAATACTGAATATACTCATTATTATAAAATTTGATAAATCACTATTACCATTAACTTTGTCTTTCATTGTATCTTTTTTATTCGTGTTGCAGCCTAAATCATCTTTAATTCTGTCTCCCATCTCTCCAGGTCTTTGGGTGTGACTTTATGGGAGCTTTATGAGCTGGGAAACCAACCATACAGACAATATTCTGACAGACAAGTGTTGACATATGCTGTAAAGGAGCAGCAGCTTAAACTACCCAAACCCCACCTGCAGTTCCCCCTGGATGACCGCTGGTGAGACAAGCTTTGATATTTACTCATTTAGGAAATTAAAGATTTGGACCCCAGACATGTCATGACTTTAAATGACTATTCAACATTAGTTGGCTGGAAAGAAAATCACACAAATAGCTAATGTTCCATTGCACCCGACCATTGAGGTTATATCTAATTGTAAGTGAGAGAAGCTGATCAATAGTCTTATTCTGTGTGACCCTTCTGACTCAAAGCAGAGTTAAATCACTTCATCTATCTTTACCTTGAAGACAGCTGAACAATGTTTATACCTATTAATTTTTCACTGCAGTTGCTCAATGGAAAAACATTTGGCAGCATCTTTGAAAAGCTACACTGACACACAAAGAGGATCTTCCAACTGAGTCAGCAACCATTCTAATCGCCTTTATATAGGCTGTAGGTTATTGGCTAGAGCTGTAAATAAATCCCAGGTGTAACAGTAAATTGCTTACCTCTGAAGTTCTCTTTTCTTGTTTGTTTAGATCAATTATTTAAATCCCCTGCCATTTACAATATCATTAGTCATGTCAGAGTGGGTAAAAATATATAAATATATTTGTTCATTTCAGGTATGAAGTTATGCAGTTCTGCTGGCTACAGCCAGAGCTAAGGCCAAGCAGTGAGGAAGTCCACCTTCTGGTCACCTACTTGTGTGCTAAAGGCTCAAGTGAAGCTGAGGAAGACTTTGAGCAACGCTGGAATGCCTTGAAACCCAATTTGCTTGGCAGCACATCGCACACAGCTGCGTCCACATCCTTGGTTTTCACTCCCACCCGTGCTGACATCCACAGCGCAGACCTAACTCAGACAATGGAGCTGGCCTCCTCCGCTTCATCCTCCTTTCCCCTCCTGGAGCACTTTTCTGACGGCTTTCACTCTGACACAGGGGATGACCTCCTGACCGTCACCGAGACAAGCCATGGTCTAAACTTTGAGTACAAGTGGGAGCCAGCCAGAGCTGAACAGCCCTATTGTTCCTCCTCCACTAGTGGACAACTAGGCCAGGAGAACCCACACTACCAAGATATTTATTATTCTAACACAGGAAGTACCTCAATGGGCTGCAAGACTGACATTCTGATGTCAAGCAAGTCCTCATCCTATTATGAATCTGAGCACACTAGTGTTGTCCCAGTGCTGAGTGCCCACAGCCCCTCTATTAGCAATGAGTACTACATTCGCATTGAAGAACCTGTCCAGTGCAACCTCAAATTTGATGATGACACTGGGGACTACAGTTCAGAAATGGAACTTGCTAACAGAGAGTTGCCATCTGAGAATCAATCCAGCTCTTACTGGTCCACCACGAACAACGTGAAATCAAATGATTCGAGTCCAAACATTCAGCTACAAACACATCCACTACTGAGCCCCTCATCTAATGGCAGTCTAGTAAAATCAGGTTGTTCTTACAATTCAGTTCCACCCTATAGCATTAATAATAATGCAGTCTCCTCTGACGAATCGCTGGAACCTGAGCTACAGAGGCCATCCTCTCCCTCTATACTTGAAAAGTCACAAGAGATTCAAACAAACCCTCCTCATATGGGCGGTCTGTTAGAAAACCCATGCAGTTTGTCACAGGCTGTCAGCAGCCCCAGTTTAGGATTCTGCGATCCTTACCTTGAACAGCACACAGGTCATAGCACAGTCAACGAAAGCTGCCATAATATGTTGGGCCCCCTGAAAAAAACACTACCTATTGTAAACCACGTTGGCAACGATGTAGGAGACAATGATGACCTACAGTTCAGTCGGTGGAAAAGTAGAGAAGTTGAGGACAAAACCAACTGGATCTCAAACCATTCGGCAAACAATAACAGTACTGACAGCAGGCATACAGGGAGTGGGAATGACAATTGCATAACTCTTCATTCAGATGCAACAGATGCATGGGCTTTAACCAAAGCCACCACAAGAACCTTCCAAAGCTTTAAGCCTTGTGGCACCTTGGGGGTCAGTGACGAAAGCCCTGAATGGAGTGCATCTTGCATTTCTGTTGGGTTAGACTCATATATTCAGATATGCCACAAAGAATCAGCTCAAGAAAAACCTGCAAGTTTGGATAATTTTCAAAGCAACAATGCTCTCACCAGCTCCAGCAAGACAACAAGCTGTGCAAAGGATGGAGAAATAGAACCTCAGACTGACCAAACAAGAACCTTGTCTGATATGCAGCAAGGCAACACCTGGGAGGGAGTTTCAGCTGGAAAATCCATTAGTCTTAGTGACTTAATGTTGAGTTATGCAGATTCATCCAAAAGTAGCAGGAGCCAGCAGCCTGCAGTAGATGTTAGGGACCCCAGCAGCTGCCTGGTTGATCTTGGTGACTACAGTGAGGATGAAGAAGATGACATGAATGATATTACATCTGGGATCTTTGCTGACTTCAACCTTGATCTTAGTGAGGTTGAGGAGGAAGACATCAGCCCCAAAAAGATTTCAGAGGGGAATACAGACACTTTGGGTGCCATTAATGTGCTTTCATCTGTAGCAAGCTCCTGTGACCAGGCCTTTAGTCCCGATCCTTACAACACACCCATACTGCCCAAATCTCTGGATAGTGGCTATGACACAGAAAACAATGAATCCCCAGAGTTTATGTTCAAAGAGCTTGGAGATGCACTAGATTGTGAAAGTTGCCCAAGGCTAGGTGGAGAATCTGAAATTGGTCTTCATGTCGGTTTAGGGCAGAGTATCTGCACTTCAATAGTCACCTCAGAGCCACATGTGAAGAGTCTTGTTGATAACAATCCATACAGGGACTCTGCGTATTTCTCTGACTTTGATGTAGAAAGTGAGAGGAGTCCCAAAGACAAAGATGCAAGGAGAAGTTTCTTTGCAGCTCCAGGAAAACCTTACACTCCAAGCTCTGCAGGAGACCATACTCTTGAAAACAATCTAAAAAATCTGAGACATCTCAAAAGTTGCATTTCGGTAAATCCCTCAGAAGCCAAATTATATTTAACACAAAATATCCAAACCCCTGAGTTGTCCATGCTGTCGCCATTTCCTCCACAGATGGGTGGGTGTCTCACCAAAGAATCTGCTCCTGCTGATGATGATCTGGGGTTAAACACAGAGCATTCGGGGGATGATCCTGCATCTGAGTTCAACTCCCTCCATGGGTCAGAACCTTCCTCCTCTGTCATAGAAGCCTCTGCAAACCATGGAGAGGGTAGCACAGAAGCAGGGAGCAGCTCATCTATCAATTCATTAGTCTCTGGTTGCTCCATAAATGAATGCAGAGATAATCCATGTGAAGAAAATGAAAACGTGGAGGAATCCACTGAGGAGGAAGAGGTGCCAAAACAGATTAATGTCATTGAGAAGGAAGAGCATCAAAGAGAGGGTGGGAGAATTAACGAAGAGGAGTTTGAGGACATTGATGCAGAGGACTGTGAAAGTTTATGTGAGGAATCTAACAGCCCTCATGATCTTTCCACCTCCTCATCATTATTGGAGCTTTGTGGAGAAGAGGTGAGAGCTCCTCTGGAAGAGGCTGAGGATGAAGATGACTCCGATGACAGCGAGTCTGATGAAGAGCTGAGAACCTACAACATCCAAGGTGAAGACAGCGAGGAGAGTGAGGAAGATTTCACCTCAGTGCCGGTGGTAGTAAGTGAAAGCAGCAAGGTGAAACACCTCCGCAGCCTCCTGAAGATGCCTTCCCTGCTGACCCAATCCTTCTGTGACGAGTTGGAGAGAAAGAAAAAAGCTGTTTCCTTTTTTGATGATGTCACAGTATTCCTTTTTGACCAGGTAGGAAAAAGAAATGGAACAAAGTTCCACCTTTTTGGCTTAAAGATAATCATTATTTTAACTCTGTGTCTTCCAGGAGAGCCCCACCGGAGAACTTGCGGACTGTTCATTTTCCACTGGAGAACAGCCCATTGAGCAGGAAACATCAAATTTAGATCTTAAAGGTTGTGATACTCACTGTTTTTCTACAGAAACAGATGGAAACAGCTCAGCACAGGGTAAGCACAAAGAATCCTACCTTCAGTTACGTTTCTAGGAGGAGTATTTTGAAAGATTTTCCATCTCCAGTTCTTAGAAGGCCCTATAGGAAATACCAACTTCCCTCTAAATAGAAGCTCCTGTGATGATTGATGCAATTGTCGTATATTTTAGAATAAAACAGAACTGAATAAGACTTTATGTGATCCTCACTGGGTAAATGTACCATCAGGAAAGTGGCAGGCAAATGGAAAACATGCAGATACACCTCAAAATTGGTACTAATGAAAATAAGATAATGCTCATTAATGTTATACATACAAAGTTAGAAAAAAAAATATGCAAACCACTCATTTTACAAAATATACAAAACTTAGCGGAATTAGATAATGGAAAGTTCGCACTAAAAGTGTTTGTAGTGTGATCATTTGCAAAAATATGTCAACATGTGAATAATTGATAGTGATGTAAAGAGCTTATAGTGTTCGATGGAATGGTTGATAGTTTTACAGTCAAACAGCTGCTTGGAGGAACAACCTACCCACTATTTGTACTGCAACTAAAGACACTAGAGCAAATAATGACTTTAAATTAGACAAAATGATGAGGAAATGGTCAATTTGTCTTTAACATCTCATATTTTAGCCCTCATTACTAGTACTATAGGTAAATGTAGAGTTTTAGGTCAAGTCATGTCTTTAGAAAGGAAGCCAATATTCAAAGATGGAACCCCTTTCATGACACAGAGAGGCGGAAATTTTGCTTCAATGCTTTTCTTATTCCATATGGCTAAAGTTACGTCTGAAGATTCCTGTTGGAATCTTCCAGCTGCACAGCCCTCATTTAAGTAGATGTAAAAGTACAAAATCAGCAACCACCAGCAACTTTGCCCTCCTCTTACTCTACTTTTAAACATATTACCACCGGTAAAAATAGCTAACTTCAGGTCTTTCCATTCAGCAACTTCTACATTGATGATTTTTGTCAGTGTGATCTGTTACCACTTAGCCTTGGTGTTTTTAAAGATAGCAGAAACTTTTGAGCTTATGACTGGACTTGTCACAGGTCATACCAGGCCAGACCTGGTGGGCCAAGATACACTTGTCCAGTCCAAGGCTCTCCTATTGTAATTAAGCACATATATGGAAATAATTCTGTTTCATAGAACAAATCATTATTACAAATCAATTATTAATGAATTTATGTATAAATAAAGGCAGTGGTCAGAGGCTAAAGTGTTTTAATTAGGGCTGAAAACATAATCGGATTAATCCTCATAAATTATTGAAATGACCGTGATTTAGTATTCGTTATAGTTAACTTGAGTATTGAGAGTCTGAAGCATGCCTTTAGCTGAAAGAGCAACCCACTGAAAGCAGTTAATACTGAAAATGTAAAATATATAAAAGCATTTTGTATTTAATCTGGAAAACCTTTTTCCATTAATATGCTCTATCCACAAATCTTCAAAGGGCTTCCCTTGGTTTCAATTCTTTGTAAAATCTTTTCTAAGGAACCTTTTGGCATCCAATTATTAATCGACAGAATAGGCTTTAATTGCAGCCTTGTTATATTATTTTTTATCTGTTGAGCTTTTCGGAGATCAATGAAAAATAAAGTAAAGATTTCACATTATGTAATGTAAATATTGGTCTTTTACTTTTATTTTGAACAATAAAAAAATGAAAATAGTTCAACGTGTGTTTAAAATACCAGAATATGTCCAAGACTTATTATATTACTTATTTTCATCTTCTCGACTGCATAATTTGTGTGCAAAATGTGAGTTTAGATTCACTACCATGCTGTGTGTCTGCTTATAATATAACTAATCACCAAAAATACCAAGGTCATTCATTGGTTTCTGTCCAGCCCTGGTCACCAGTCAGGCTCCCCTATATAAAAGTGATGCTCTTTATGTCATCAAGTAATCCTTTTTTTTTTACTGCATCTCTAAAATGTTCCTTTTTTTTTCTTTACCATTACACAGATGGTAATAACAGATGGGAAGATGAGCAGTCAGTGGACACCTCCTCATCCTCTCCTCATATCCCCGATCCTGTGTCCTCACACTCCTCTGTCACAGATACAGTTGAAGTTCCCAAACCAGCTGTGATTCCTCTGAACCGTTTCATGGTCTCTCGGTTCTCCATCACACATGTGTCTGACTCCCATTCAGGCACAACAACAGGTCTGTAATCAAAACCTATTTCTATAATTGAGAATGCTATTTAATTTACAGCTCTAATGAAACAAAATTCCTTGTGCCTAACAGGGAGCAATGAAGATAACCCAAGCAACTGAATCTTGCAGGAAAGACCAGAAGAAGAGAAGCAGAGAAGCATTATTATATATTAAAGATGATTTACAGAGTTTATTTTGTAGTATTTGGGATATCTGAATATGAGACACTCTATGAGATGGTGGCTCATATTGTGGTTGAAAACCTAATTGATTTGCACAAACTTTACTTCTTGACATATGTGCAATAGCAGTAGGAATGGAATTTTGATTGCAGATAAAATTTATATGTTTGAAGGGGAAAAAATAATTTTATTAGCTTAAATATTTTGCTTAATGAATGCTGGCAATCCTTATGGTAACAGATTTTTCTTTTTAATGCGCAAGACAAAAATGGGAAAATAAGAACAGGCTTCATTGTCATTTCTCCCATTGGCTGCCTTATTACTTACGCTTTGAAACTAGTTCTGGCAACTTTAGGACTGTTACAGAATTCATAAGAAGAAAATGACTTGAAAATTGTTCCATTAAAGGTCAAGGGGAAATAAATTCTGTATCATTTTCCATATTGAGCTGATTATGGCACTTCTGTACAAAAACTTACAGATGTAGGCCAGTTCCAGAATCACCATCACTAGACACTTTTGATTATTTAGCACTTTGTGTAGCCTTAGTTGCTCTCCAATTTATTGTACTAGAATAAATTAGCTGAACACAAGTCATTGTCATTCATAGTACAAGGTTTGTTTAAATCTAAACTTTTTTTTTAGAAAAAAATCAGACTAAGATGTTTTTCCACAAAACTGTGTGGTGTCACCGTAAACATCTCAGTCATAAAGGTGGAATGTCACTTCTCATGTTAAAATATATTTTCTAAGAAAAAAAAAAAAAGAAAAAAAAAGAGACACATGATATTGCAGTTTTGGTGAATGTCTACTCCTGAGGTGAAACCAAGACATTCAGAAAAGGACATTCTGGTATATTATATGAATATTATATCAACATGTAGCAGGTAGCTTGAGTAGAATTATTACTGCTGTATTCACTGTTGTATTCCCTCCTCTGTGCATCCTTCTGTAGATCCAAGTTTCAATGCCCCCCACCCACCCACTTTGCCTTTTAAGTTGTGCAAGATTGAAAAACTGTTGCCAGTATTTTTGTACACGGATTTAAAAAAACAATGCATCTAGGATGAAAGTTTATTGAATTTGCCAAAGAAAAACTGCAAAGCCTGTTGGCTTTTAAATGGTGGATGCCTTTGGGGAAGACGAGGTTGCTCTATGCACCAGAAGTGACATTGTTGCTGTTTCCATTTATTCCTCATTCATTGCTGTTGTACTATCCACGCCCTTCAAAAACCTGAATAAATTCAAGTACTTTTTTTCCCCCTCTTGCATCTGTGGTATATTAAATCAAGTTTACATCTGCTTTTTTCTGTTTGAAACAAGTAGTAAAAAGTGGGGGTTAAAAACAAAGATGGAAATAAGACAACTGCGCAAGTTTAAATTTATTTGATACGTTTAATTTAAATGCATTTCTTTAAAGAATGGATACAGTACAAACAGAAACAGAAGGGAGAAATAAAGACAAGGGCAGCCATGTTTAATTCAGTTTTGTACAAAACAAATAGATATTAAATTGTGACATAAGTGTGATCACATCAGGTTAAGGACTAGTTAAAAAAAAAAAAAACTAAAAACTCTCGCAAACAATCCTTAGGAAGGCAATGCAGTCCATTCACTCAAACATTCATATATTTTAACCTCTTTTGCTGCAATCTACGCACAAATGTATATGTATATATATATATATATGTGTGTGTGTGTGTGTGTTGTTGTTGTGTGATTGTATTTTTACTGTGTCCCAGATTAGTGTGAAATGTAATACTGTGAATGGAGGATAATTAAAAAATATATATATACAATACTGGGAATGATATCTAAATGATCTATCACTCCCTTAAAGCTAAATACTAGGAAAAAAAAAGAATTATATCCCAAGTTCTGTATATTTTTAAAAATTATACAGAAAAAGTGGCTTCCCACACATAAAAAAACAAAAAATAATTAAAACTTGAGCTCAAATATTTCCATGAGCATTGTCAGGACAAAACAAGAAAATCTGTACAACAAAGAATCACCCTTGAACCATTTTAGCAGAACAATTAGAACATGATAGAATGATTAATGTAGATAAAACCAGCAAAGACTCGTAGAAGGCACAGGAAATTGACTGAGCATGGAGTATCATTGATAAACAATCATCTATATGATCTAACAGAAGCACAATTGAAGCATAATAACAAAAAGGGTGGTTGTCCTGCTTTCAGATCACCCTCAAGTACCAATCCTATTGCAAACATAATGGTCTCAGAAAATGTAGAGTTTTTAGTGTTAAAAAGATAATGTTAGAACTTAAACTTCCTAGCCTTACCTTGTGATCTAAATAACTTAATAAATCTACCATTACCATAACATATTCAGGCAGAGACGTTTAACTGTGGTCCTAGCTGTAGGTTTTTTTGTTTTTCTTTGTTCAAAGGACATTTTCTATACAAGAAATCAAATTCTCTTATTTGTTGAGACGATCAGACCTCTGCGCCCTCTTCTGGTAAAAGAAAAATGCACATCATGGCTTGTTACTGTCCTCTTCTTTTAAAATAGGTGCCCAATAGTGGGAGAGAGGAGAAAGCAGGTTGCTAGTAGTATATTGGTGCAGAGCGATCATCAGAGAATGAGGGCCGGAGGAAGACCTCGAGGGAACGGTCACTGTGGGGAAAGGAGGGGGTAGACAGTCAGAATTAGCGTCAACTTAATCCCACACATCAACAAACAGAAACGCTGTTAAACCTTTCAACCACACCCACAGTAACTGCTACATTCATTTTTTGAGGTGGAGAAAAAAGTTGCTGTTTTGTGAGATCAAGCATGAGATGAGAAACCTTTCAAACATCACCAATGAAAAGCAGTTGGTAACACAAAGGTGAAAAATAATCGTTGGTATCCCTGGCGAACAGGTGTAAAAAGCCACTAACCGAACCCCTAATGATTACCAAGTTGAAAGATCTGGTGACAAAAATACACCGGCAATTTAAGGAGTGGATCCTGCTGTTCAAAATTTAGAAAAAATTTGGGCCTTTAAAAGAAAAACAGGCCCGTTGTGTTGCAGATCATGAATTTTAACAGCAGCCTGATTCAGCGTGAACCCAGAACCCCCGGGACCCAAGCTTAAAGCTCCAACTACTAGGCCACCAATCCCCTATTATTAAAATTATTGAAATGACAATGATCTACAAGTGCCGACATGTAATCAGACAGCTATACATCACTTAGAAGGTGAAGCTGTCACTCAGACAATATCCCAAAGTGTGTAAAAAGTTGGATAGCTTAAGATTATGTAATGGTATTAATGGATAATTGGTGCGATTTAAATGTAAAAGCCTGTATTATCTCTCACATCAACAGCCATTCAGGAAGAAAAACTAAAAAGAAGGGGATAATTCTGTCCAAAAATGTGTGGATGAAATGAAAAAGGCAAATGTAATGTAAGATTTATCTTAAATGCATTAATAAGCTTACCAACAACTTTACATCTGATTAGAAAAAAAATTTAAATAACTTTTAACATAGGCTTCATAATTGATCCAAATGTATTAGATTTAAAGCCTGAATTATTTTTGTGATAATAAAGAAATAGTTTTGAGTATTTAAAGGCTTTCTACACATCTTCAACAGGTTTACCAACAGATCTGTCAAAGTATGTATGCAGGCATGCATGGTTAATATCTAATGAGGAGGATATTGGGTTATTGAAATAAAAAAAAAAAAAGTGCACAACCCAAGGCCTGCCGGATTGCAAAGACCAAAAAGAAAAGACCAGTAATTTCCAGTATCCTATTCTAGCAGGTGACCAGCAAAAAACAGATGAGACCAAGCATTAATAGAGAGAAGAAAAACAGATGTGATAAGTTTATTGAGCGGCGATGGAGACTGGAGGGACTTACAGCGGTCCTGTTCCCTCAGAACCGGGACAATTCTGGACCCAAACTGGAAGGTAAAGAGAACCTTGGGGTTTGAGTGGTTCACACCTCAAATCATGCATGAGGTAAAAACTTGTAATGACAATTGTTAGTCTGATGCAAGACAAATATACTGTACGCTGGTTATATTTCAATGAAAAATGCAAAACAGCGGTGCAACACTACTGTGCATGCTTCACATGCCTCGTCAATTCAACACAGTCTCAACGGAGAAAATTATACTGAGAATGGACCAAAATAAACAGTGAAAACGGCTAATTTATTTAAACCAAATACAAACCTCACACAAGCAAAAATTCAAAATCAAGGAATGTGTGCAGGCAGCAAAAAGTCAGATTCCCACAATAAAAATACTGTATCAAAACACCACTGTTACCCCCAAAGGACAGTACAGGTACGACATGGGTGGGAGGAGGAGGCAGGGATGAAACATGCATGGGACACAGCCGTAACGGAATTACTCACAAAATGTTACTTTTTAAGTTAAAAAAAAAAAAAAAAAAGCAGAAAGAAAACACTGAAACAAGGGAAATTCCTCGTCAGTGGCAGAAAATATTCCTCGTCAGACCAGAACCATTTATTAATATATAGAGATGTGTTTTATTCAGAATACCTTTGTAAAAAGTCACCATACATTCAAGGTCAATTTTAAGAGTCACATTTTTCTGGTTTTCCCCTCCACAGCATGCATGAGTATGTTTATCATTGTATCTTGAGATATTTTACAAGGACAGTATTTATTATTGATAGTTTTTTTCCCTTTAAAAGAAAAGACCAAACTTGTACAGCCATTCAGGAAAAAAACAAAAAAGCAAAACAAAAAAACAAGGAAAAATGCATAAAAGCTGTGGTCGTAGTTAAATGTCAAATTATTCACAACTATAATTTAAGGGTGGTCAATAAAAAGTTTGCTAATAAAGCTTGAAGTGGGAGAAAGAAATTATTCTATGATAGTTTAAGCAACAAATCTTGGTAGTAAGTCAGTCAGGAATGCAAATAAGTAAATAGAAATAAACAAATATATAAAGAAATATGCCCAAGGGTGTAATGTTAAGTATTCAATTTTTGTAAATATATAATTAATATGTTAAGTGTGTATAAAGGAAAAGATTAAAGTAAGGCCAATATGACACACCCTCTTGACAAAAAGATCTAGCACTGACACGAGGAAGCACAGCAGGACCTGTGGGATTTCTCAAAACAAACACAGCAAGCTATTGGACAGAGTTACTTATAACATAGCTTTTTTTTTGTATGCTTGTTGGGTAGGAACTCAATATTAGGGCCCTTGCGGTGCTTAAGGAAAGGCCATTCAGTCAGTGGCTTAAGTACAACGACACTGAGGTCTTTTGGCACTTGAACAGTACATGAACATGTCTTTCAGTTTTTTGACAAAATGACACAACCATGTACATGCATGAAAGACAAGCAGTAGCAAAGGCAGTCTCTTGAGAGAACAGTCCAAGATGTGCGGACTGATTAGAGAGTGTTCAGAGTCCGTATCGCTGCATGTCGAGCAGGTAGGCCCCGCTCGGGGTTTCATGTTCAACGCAATCCTCCACCCACCAGCCGCTACTGTCCACACCGACGCCAGAAGAAGCAGCAGCAGCACCCAGGATGGACAGGAGGAGGAAAAGGAGGAACCCGGGGAGGAAGAGAGGACAGAAAGGAGGGATGAAATTGGCCTCTTCCATTCGGAGAAGGGGTGTGAGTGGAGGCAGAGGTGCAGACAAGTGGACAGGCAGGGAGGGGAAGAGGAAGGAAAAGATGGGGGAGGAAGAGGCCCCTGTGCTATCCGGAGCTGTCTGTGTCTGTCTGTATGTGTGTTCTCACACAGTCGAAATCAATTTTCCATCAGGACTGTCACTGTGGAACAAAGAGAGAAGGAAGCTTGCCAGGTCGGACACACTCAGAGAGAAATGGAGAGAGACAAGACAGGCACAAGGAGGCAGGGTGGTTTGGAGAGGTAATGCAGGAGGGGGCTCAGGAAATTACTGTTGGCCCCACCTACAAAACTCCAATCACACCTGCAATAATCATGAAGACCGGAGCTTCAGTTTCATCATCAACAACTCTAAACAGAAATCTAGTTTGTCCCACAAATCAAAGTTTTACAATTTAAATCATGCCCCAAATGGATGCAAAAAGATGAAAAAAGGCACAGCTGTTGATGAGGAAATTTCTCAGTGATCTTTGTTGCTGTAAGGATGTAGTATTAGTCTGTGAGGGTAAATACACCCTATACGATGATAATACTGATACAGAAGAAATAAAGACACATTTAGAGCAGACAGGAAAGTGAAACAGCAGCTTGATGCTAAAAAGAATCCAGGCTGCCAGGCAAAAAATGGCTGACATGACATCTACTGTTAAAACACACTTTAACACTTGGACAAATGCTCATTCACCTCAGGACATTGTTCTCTTTATCAAACGCACATCACCTGACACACATAAGAAAAGCAAGACGTTCTCCCTAATTAGACAGGAACAAACCTGAAACTCAGTATGGTCTTGATATAAATAATAATATCTAATTTAACTTGCCCAGTAGCCATTAGACTATAAACTGGAACACTGATGCTGCAAGAATCTCACCAGTGCATTACAAATATTTCTAAAAAAAAGTAGCACTGAAAAGGGAGAAACCGAGGAAGCTAAAGACACAAAGTAATTAAATGTAAAGTTAACGTTTTTCCTATCTTAATGAAATATATTTTTTAGAATTAAATGTCAAGATGTATAGAGCCCACCATAAAGGAAAGGAACATACATGCAGAGAAAAAAAAATTAGGAAAAAAAAAGTAAAATTAAACAGGTTAAGATTTTTGAAAACCAAAATCAATATCTATTTCTAATCCTCTGATTCAAAAAATAAAATAAAACAAAAAGGATGATTAGAAAAAATATGGAAATTGAAAAATACTGTAGGAAAATCAGCATACATTTTGGTGACTTCAAGCTACAGAAGATAAACACTTCTTCCTCCTTATTTACACACATAACAATGTTTAAGAACTACATAAAAAGGTTTCCTGCCAAATAAAGATGACTTAGAAAGTTAAATTACTGGGCAATCTAAATATTGCTGCACAGAATATAAACATTCCTTTTATTAGAACACAGAATCTAGCACTTTCTCCAGTAATTTTTGGAGGATGTGCAGCATTCTGCTGTATTATCTGCTTTATTGCAGCTCACAATACACAGCTGCAATAACAATGGTTCAAATAATCTGCACAATAAAAACCTAATCATTTCAAAGAGGCATGTAATTTTGTGTAACACAGCGTAAATATTTTTTGCTGATTTACTTAGATGTTTGTAATGCAGTTTCCCCTCATGTAATTCAATTGCTTAGTTATTTACCCTAAGTCACAATTACTGATGTAATATTCATTTTTCAGCATAAATGAATAATTATGGGAATGCAAGATGACATACCTTGTGGCAAAGCGGCTGTCGTAATCCTCAATAGCAGGCTGGAAAATGAAAGAATTTTTGTTTTATTGAAAGACAGTTATATTAATTCACGAACACTAGGTGGCAGTAGGAACTGTGCAAATGTCTAACTTTGGTACTGCAGAATTACTCATGACCAATTATGCAATAGAGCCCTTAATCAGATGGAGGCTTCAAATTAAGTACACAAGTAAAGCAACCGATTCTGCACATTTCATGGATGCTTGGATTGTAATACCTGTGGAGCAAACCCTGCCATGCTGTAAGGGCGTGGGCGGGTCTGTGCTAAGCTCTGGGCCAGCAGTCGAGCAGTTAGGCCGTAATCAGGTGTGGGCACTGATGCATCGCTCTCCAGCAGGTTCCCTGTGCTGCTGCTTTTACCATGATGAAGACTGGAACTGCAAAAAAAAACAAAAACAAAAAAAGAAACAGCCTTAAGACTTTGACTCATTTGAGTTTTAAAAACCTTTCACGAAAGAAGTAGGACATACTTCACTCTCAGCTTGTCCCCATCACTCTCAGGGAGCACACGAGTGTAAGAGAATGGAAACCAGCCACGCCTAAAAACATGCACAATTTTCAAATGTAATAAACAGATTAAAAGGGGAAATGAAAAACATTTACATTGTATGTGTGCATAATTTTATTTATACCAGTAAATGATAATGAAAACTAAATGCATGTGTGATACATTTGATTTTACAATATGAATTCAGAGAAAACAGAATAGACGTACATTTTGTTTTTCTCATTTTCTCCATAGTGCCAGCCATCACGGGCCTCAGGCACTAGCAAAGTGATGACGTCTCCCTCAGAGAAGCTTAGCAGGGTACCGTTGTCACCTGCAGCGTGGGAGAAGATGGCCTGGACGCGGGAGCGCCCGTTCTTTTCCAGTCCAGCCGCCATGGAGCTGGACCTGGGCAAAGTCCGTGTCTCCCCTGAGGAGCAGAATTTTAAATAAATATTTGTGAATTAAAATGTGTCCAAGAGTGTAGATTTAAGGTATCAATTATGTAGATTGTTTGAAATGTCTTGTACATTCCTTTTATTTGTGGTTAGAAAAGAATAGTTAATAACTTTATGCAAGTCAACAAGTATAAAAAGAACTTTAAAACCTCTGAAATTGAATCATAACAGGGCAAATGATGCTTATTAATATTAATCTGTAGCAATAATAGCTCACTTTATAACTAATGGACAAATAATGTTATCAACAATTTTAGGATATTTTTTATATATGAACCATACTTTACTTTATCGAATTTTTTTTTCCATTTGATAAAGTAAATTCAAAGCTGCAGTCTCCAAAAGACACTTATTTGAAAACAAATGCGTGTATACTCCATTCTTTATTTTTCTTTATAATCTTAAGTTTTCTCTCCAACCATATTTTGCTGCAAAGCTGGTCACATGTATTGCTTTTCAGTTGCTTAGCAAATGAAAATAAAAGTCTTTGGAAAAGGCATCTTTGAAGCTATATTTCACAAGCAAAATCCCCTTAAGTGACAAGAAGTTGGCTCCTGTTCGGGGTGTACTTGCTTTGTAACAATAGCAAAACCTTCTCAATTTCTGTGTCAGGAAGGTGCAAAGACAACCTGCAGTCTTCAGTAACTCTATAACCATATCATGGATTTGGTCTTCTCAAAATATTTGATCCACTTTTGATATACTCTAACCCTTTTCCAAAGTGTAACAGCAAACTATGTTAACTCTCACAGCCTCTCTATGTTTTCCATACATGTGACCTACAAGGTTTTTAACACACTAACGATACACTGCACCACTTATCTGTCCTAATGAGGGCAACATCGGGTACAATTCTTCAGTGTTTTTTCTCTAAAGCTCTTGCCGTCTTGAAACAAGAGCAGCCTCAGCATTGTGCTGTTCATTCATTTGTGATTGCATAACAGCAGCATAAGGAAAACCTTATTGGTTTTCATGCATCACACCAGTCAATTGAAGTATATGCCTTGAAAAACCATGAAAACTGAAAAGGTGGACATGTTGGGGCAGATCAGACAGATTGCCATCCTACTAAGCTTTAAAAAACTGTATAAGGGGAAAAACATATCAGTTAAATATTTCTGTGACCTCTTGCTTAGTTTTCATAGAACAATGACAGTATAATAAAGTCCAAGCTGTGCCGTTTTAGCTTACCAACGGGATTTTTATTCTTGGCTGGAGCAGGCCTACGGACGGGTAGGGTATTGGAGTAGACGTCGCTGACCTGTCTCTGGGGCGGGACCTGGGACGGACCCTGTGTCTGAGCCTGAGGGGATGACGGCCTAACTTGAGAGACTGACATTGTACCCCCATCTGTCCAGTATTCCTCTCCATGGACTCCTGTCGTCCCATTGACCATGGACATGCCATCAGGACCCATCAGCCTCTAAAAAAGTAGGGAAAAAGACTTAATTCAATTGTCAGCAATTGTCAGCACTTGGATTTAATATGGTTACATCAAATGAAAATATATTTATTTTGGTCAGGCAAAAAAAAACAAAAAACATCAGTCATTAATTTTCTCACCGCTGGGTGTCCAAGACCACTGCCCATAAAAACAGCCAGCTCTGGGGGAACAGGAAGAGGCTGAGCCCCTGGTATGGGGTCTGAGATGACCAGATTGGATTTGGAGGAGTGCAGGGGACTGGTGCCCCCAAGAGCAGCAGAACACATCTGTTGGGCCAGCATCATGGCTCTGTCCGGGAGTTTATTGGGATCTGAGCAGGCCTGCTGCCACACTGGGATCTTCTGGGTCAAAAGGTCTTTACCCTGAGAGAATGAAGTAAAACAACATGGAAACAAAAACAAAAAGGCTGGATTAGAAGAAGAGATGCTAATATCTGTTTAGCCCTGCCATAAATATTTAAAAAAAGGCTTTTCTAACTCTTTACTCTCATTGTTTTAAAATTAAATAAATAAAAATCTGTCTTTATAAACATTTACTCTGTGTGTATCCTTGACCACTGCCCTCTGTAGAGCTTTGATAATGTGCTGCGTGGGTAAAGCAGACCATCACTCAGCCCTGCTGCCCACTGCAGTCTTTCCAGCCTGTGGACACAGCTGTTCTTTTTACAAGTCTGGTAATAGTATTTAATGTTTAACAGAAAGGAGTACATGTAAATAATACAAACAAACACAAAATAGACTATGCGCTCTCATACAATCAGATTAAACTCTCATTTCCTCTCCAACACATATCTTTTGCACATAAGGAACCCTCTGGGAGCACGTTCATGAGTTTGGTGAAGGTGAACATTTCCCCCACACACCCCCATGCTGATTAATGACTAGACTTCATGTTGGGAAAAGGGAAAAAAAAAAAAAAAATGGCAGCGTGGTTGACACACGCATCGTCCTCCCCGCAGCCACATCTTCAGGCTGGCAGTTCTCACCCACCCATAATCCCAGGTGACTGATGCACTCCATTACCCATGGATTTGAAATTGTTGTGAAAAAGACATGCATTTGAAGCGCACACACCCACACAACAACGAGAATATATATGTAAATGAATTGCATACTTTTTCAATAACATTTGCTTTTGCTGGACCATAAGAAGTGGAAATAAATTTGTTTAGTTTAAAATTTCAGGAAGGATAACTAAGGGTAGCAGGTTCTGCTTAGTTTAAAAGAAACTTACTTTCAGTCTGGGTGGTGCTCCAATCAGAAACAATCTTTGGTGCATTTTTTTAGGGATTTTACATGGTAGATATAAAGTGATTCATACAGTAACTGACCAGTTAAAGTGTACATTGATTTTGAAGTTTTTTTCAAAACTATTCTAGGCAGCTTTGGCTGGGTTTAAGGTTGTCATGGTTTATAGTGGGAAGGAGATCCTCTGCATTTAGCTTCATCCATCCTGTCGAGCGTCTCTGTTGCCCATGTAAACACGCCTATGTAATTTGAGAGGTAGGATTTGTCACTGAATGAGTCATGTGACCCAGAACGCTGCTGTACCGTCCACTGAGCTTCAGGTAAAAACTATTCTTTCACTTATCTAATCAGAATATTTTTGTTTTTCAACTGTATGGTTGAATTTGGGCTTATCTTTAAAACATTTGGTTGACAGACCCTGTTTTAATGATGATAATGAGACAGTAATGAAATAAACATGCTTCTAAAATGAATGAAGAATTGTCGAGATGTGGGAGCTTTTCGTTCTCTAGACTAGACGAAAATGTTGATAATGACTTGCCGCACAGACAAAATCAAAGGCATCTCTTCCCATTTTGCATCTAATCTATCAATTAAAAACTGAAGGATCAACAATTCAACAACGCATGTTAAAACCAGGCTTGATGGTTGGACACCACCGAAAATCCTATGGATATACTTCAAATATGCAAAAGAAAATGTAATGTAATGTATAGACAAGTAGTGGTTAATATCTACATAAATGAGTTGGGGGAAAAACCACGGCAGCACCTCTGTCAGATGTTCCTACCGAGGTAAGATTCTGATAACTTTAGGATAAACTTCGGTTAGTTGCTTTAGCATTAGTTTGTTAGTTCTGTGTGTTACTGTCAAAACTCTGTAGTTTATAGCTGGTTAACAAGTGTGATATTGAGCAAAGTTTAATTCCTTGTCTAGGTGCTGTCGACACGTTACAATGTGTAACCAGGTCGAGATAAATGTGCTTTGTCATCTGGTAACTTTGGGCTAAAAGCCATAAGAATATGGTGACCAGATGTCCTGATTTTCCGGGACAGTCCCTACGATCTGTGCCTGAATGAGGCCGTCTCTGATTTTAGCATTTTATGATTGAGAAAAATCATGCTGTGTGTAGACTGTTATTTGAGTGCTACAGCACTAGCTGTCATGGTAACAGCAGCAGAGGTGCAGCACATTTTCTCATCCCCAATGCTTTCCTGTGATACAGAGTCTGGATCTTTTCATATGTGTTATACAAGGTTGATCCGAGGAATGATCGAGCCAGAAATGGTTCAATTTATATATTTCATAGCTAGTTATGATGGTTTTGATCATTTGTAATTGTGAACAGAGTTTCAGGCTTCAGAGAATTTGTCCACTAAAACTGAACATAACTGAGTTCCTTATAAAAATTAAAGGACTTAGTGAGAGGCCAACTGAATGAGACAAATACAGCATGAAGGGAGAATGATGAGGAAGGACAGTTAATCACTGGATTCAATTTTAATTTCTTCTGCTGCACCAGCTTGTAGCTCTCAGTAAAATAAAACGTTTTTTGCTAAATATAGCTATTTTTGGCCTTTCTCAGGCTGAGTAAACAAATTAGATAAAAAAGAAAACCAAATATTTAGTCAAATTGATGTGTTAAAACACAAGATGGTAAAGAAATACATTCACATGTGTATAAATATTTTTTTTAATGTGATATATCTACATTTGATTGTTCAGTATTTACTTGCTGATATTTGTATAAGGTGTTCATTATATATACAGCACAATTAAAAAGCTAAATCAGACTAAAACTAGACTTAACCTTTGAGTTTTCCAAGGCTCACACTTGATTAAAATGTTCATATATGAAATGACTTAATTTTGACAAAAACTATAAAGCTTTGTCATTTTGTCCAAAAACAGCACAGATTGAAAAACACAAAGAGAGACTATATAATTCTGTGACAGTGGTTCCTGTTGCGTTCAGGGCCTCTAATCCTGGAAGTTACAGGTCTAGTGCCCCTAGTGGAAAAAAGTTACAGTCACTTTAACAACTCCAAGGATACATTGCCTTTGCTGCTACTATGATTAATGCTTTTCTTGCCCTTGCAAGAGAAGCAGTCTAGTGTAGGTTAGAGAGTTGAATCTTTGTACGTTTGCAGTTGTGCTTTGCTCTTTCAGTTTTTTTATGCTGGATGGAAAGCTCAGAAGATGTCAAAAGATAAACACTCATATTTCAACAGAAAAGGTGAAAAAAAAAAGTAGTAACAATAATTAGAACATTAAAGCAGTAATTTAAAACTGATTTAATTAAAGAACTCTGGACATGCCTTTGCCTTTAATCTAAACTAAAATATAGTTCCTTTTCATTTGTCCTTTTTGTTAACAATTTAAGATGCATCCTCTGAATGGAAAGGAAACTGAAATCAAGACTGAAAAGGCATTTGAACGTACCTTTCCATGGTAGGCGCTGTTGTTTTTGGCCACAGCACATTGTCTGTCCACAAGAAAGCAGTATCTGCGACGTTCCTCAGACAAAGCCGTCTTGTAGCCCTCAGCAATGAAGGTATCTAGCTCAGTCTGCTTATTGCTAATGGTCTCCACAAACTGAAAGGGAACACACAATAACAGTTAAAATATGAGAGTTATGAATTTTTATACTGGTCTTGCTTTTATCTTTTAAGCTGTATAACAATTTGTACAACAAAAAAGTTTGAAATATGCTGACTCATTTATAACATTTTCTACACATCTTTTCCACCAAAGCTCATTAACTTAATATAAGTCCATTAAAAAACAAGTATGGTAAAACACATGGTTATCAGGGTTATTTGTAAAACAGGATTGAATACCGAAAGGTTATTTACATTCAAAAGGAGTATAAGCCACAAAATATCTTTACTAAAAAAAGGTGGTAGTTGAGTGGAAGGAAAACCTATTGAAAACAGACATATACAAAAAGGAATACCAAAGTTTTTAGTAGCAAAGTCCAATCAGGACCCCATGGATCAGCAAAAGTCTGTTGAAGAGCCACCACTAACAGATGTATTTAGGACATTGGTTACCACCAAGTGTCTTAACCTAAAACATTGTGAAAAATGTCTGCCCTACACTAAAGCAAAAAAATAACAAAGAAAGGAGTGATACTCAGTGAATCAGACTCCTCACTTCATAGAAGTGATATATTTTATTTGAAAATTCAACACCCAGAGTTTGGAGGAAGCATAAAGGGGCACAGAATGAGAGCTGATTGTTGTGCATTGCAGTCAGATTATTTCAGAGCATCTGTAGATGTTTGACCACCATGTTTTATTCATTACAAAGTCAGCCGAACAATAAACCAGGAAACTTAAGAGCACCTAATGCTTCTTTTTGACTTTATGAAGACACTGATTTTCATTTTCCTTGAGGATTTTGTATCCTTCCACAATGCATGAAGTGCAAATACCCGCATAATAACTATGGTGAATCTGTTCTGATTCAACAGGAAATCAGTAGATCATCTACAGATAACAATATATGCCATGCGTGAGATTGGAAACGCAGCTCCCAATAATTCAAATGTTTTATACAACTTTTAAAGAAAAATTTGCTTCCCCTTCAATGTGTGCAAAACTAATGAACAGGTATCGCACAAATTTATTGTACAGTACAAGAATATGGCTTTCAGTCAGAAAACATTAAAAGTCTTTTTCAATATTTGTTTCTGATAAGATTTGATAAATTAAATTTCAATCAGTCTTAAGCTTTAGCATCATCATTAACAGAATAAAAAAAATACCTTCAATTGATCACTGTGTGTAATTAATCAACACCTTTGACATTTAGGACTGCATTGCAAAGTGTTTAATGAGTGCACAGCAACACATTCCTGAACAGAATGTCCATAATTCAAACACAAAGAACAGGAATAAATTACCGATACTGGAGATGGACACAGTTTCCATACATTCATGCTTCACACACAAGCTCAGCCTAATGTAGCGCTCTAAGCTCAATTAGCCAATTAGGAACTAAAACAATGGAAAAAAATGTTTAGTGTATCTAATTCACTGTAACACAAGCTGCACCATATCAATTAAATTTGTGAAAAAGAAACCTGCACATATAAGGTTCATGTCAGTGTTTTGTATATTATCAGGTCAGTTTTAGACTGCATTTAAAAGTAGGTCAAATGAGAACTGTTTGATGAATTTATAACCATCTGCCAACATGAGTGACCTAGAAGGGTAGATTTTTTTATTTACTTGCCATGATTTGATCTAAGCTGAAACATGCTTTAGTGTGCTGCCATGTTAGAATCAAGTGATATGTTTGAATACATTTCCAAACGTTTCCATCTCAGATATTGCATATAAGACCTAGGAAGGTTAATGTTTAATATTTTATGAACAAGTAGATTAATCAGATTTTTTTTAATCTCTGTTTTCATATTGACTTTTGAAGCAAATTCTTTAATGGCACATGTGGAATTTGTGTTTCATTTCATAATCATCAGGCCACACTCCTAAAGGTATAGTGGAGGATGTTCTTCTTCTGGGTGGATCATCAAAATAAGTGGTCCTCCCAATTGTCAATCATTCTGGTGACGGTAAGGCCATTTTATGTGCTTGTCCCCATTTTCACTTACCAGTGGTGAGTCTGACATAGTAGAAAAATTGCAAATGTTATTTTAGAAAGTAAGCTTGTATGAGCGAGGCAAATTGCAACTTTTTTTTTTTTTAAGTGGAGAGGGCGGATCTTTTCAAAAATTTGCGAAACTCCTGCAATATACCTTTAACCATTTTAAGTAAGTCAAAGTTAGGTCTTTGATTATTTATGTAGTCATTCATTTTGAGAGAAAGATGCTCCTTTAAAAACATGTGGCAATTAAATCAAAACCCACAGATATTATCTATTAATTGTGTAGCAAAGCCCATAGATGTTATGAGTAAGCACAATACCCTCCTTTCAGTATATGTCATTTCAGTATTTTATTTGAACAGCTCTGGGTCAAACAAAGAAGTCTGTTACTTTTCATCGTGGTGCAGCGCTTTTGTATTATCTTATAACATAATGCTGAGTGTGAATCATTGCTTTGTTAGATTTAATAAAAAAGATCTTACACTGAAAATGCTTTAACTAAAGGCTATTGTTCTTTAATTAATACTTTGTTAAAATATGAGGATCCTTCAGAAGAGTTAGTGTATAAAACTGCCAAAATACTTTTTGCGTTTAAAGATGACTTTTATTACTTCTAATAATCTCCATGAAAAAGAGATGGGGATAGCAATTTTGTTTAGGAATGAGTCATAGTCTTTGCTGCAGCTGAAAAGAGAATAAAACCAGAGGAGGGAGAAGGCAGAAACAAGCACATCTCAGTACAGAAATTTCAAGAAAATGCACACGTGGACAGACTGTATTATCTTCAAGCATTTGTGAAATGGTCCTTGACTACATCACAGAAACTGTCCAGTGAAAGGACCCTAGAAAGATCACAGTCAAAGCAACTTCCCCTTTGTCTCTCTGGTGGAGTGACCCTTTTCGTATTTGCAGTCTGTGACTCACAGACTGCTAGCCTCTGCAACACCTCTAACCAGAGCTAATAGGAGCGGCTGAGGCAGTGTGCGCTCGCCTTTTGTCAAATCAACATGGCCCCATTCTCAGCCATTCAAAAGGTCATGAAAGTAACCCAAGACAATGAGTGCAGTGGGAAAAGCTCACACAGACACAAGGCACCATTATTTTCCAGTGACCTCAAGTTACATCACAGCTAGACTGACTTGTTCTACAAAGGTTATGGATAGAAATGAAAACTGTCAGGGCAATTTTAACACCCCAGCTTTAAGTATTCAGCATTACAGGATCTTCTCTGTACATCTTTATACACCGACATATACAGGATTAAATTATAGCTGAAAAAAAAGACTATATTGCAAATTGAATAATCTGTAGAATTTTTTTTTAGATTAATCAATTAATAATTGGATAGCCAACGATTCTTTGAAGAAGACTTTTAACGTAATGAAACCAGGTAAAACTAAAGCTTTTCCACTTGAGGAGAATGGAGCATTTTTAATCTTTTCTAAATCTTAAATGCAAAATGTTTCTTTTTTTTTTTTTGGCAAAATTACTGCTTTAAGTGGGTCGCTCTGTCGGCTAAATTCATGCTTTACAGTCCCTATACTACAATTAATAATTAATCGATTACTAAATTGGTTGAAGAATATTTCAATAATCGATTCATCACAATTAATCTGATTTCCTAACGCTCCAGCACTCCAATACTCTGCACAACCATCACATTTTCTGGTAATTACAACCACGGGGACAGAGGCTCTCATAGCAATTGCTTGGTAAATAATCCACCTGGATTCATGGCAACAAAAGTGTTCATATTATGCAGTACTTCTGAGGTGATTGCACAGCAGCTTGCACCATTTCGAGCTGTCGCAGCACTACTCTTGGAGTAAATAGAAACAGACTTTGGAAACCTCTGAAGCAAAACACCCAAGGTACATTTTGGTTTTTATCATTGATTTTCCTTTGCAGGCACCCCAAAACACTTTTCTTTGGGTGTGCATACCTGTACAATCTACAGATTAGAATCCATTTAATGTTATAGAAAAAGTCTGAGTGGATCAAACATCATTTCTATGATATTAAGTTCTCCGTCTTGGTTTGGAGAGCTGTTCCTCTCTGCGCTCTTATTAAAATCTTGTGCTGTACAAAAGAGCTCATCTTGATACAATCCCTTTATATGGTACTCTTCATTGAACTTCATGATGAAATAATTAGCATTTTATCAGATTTTACCTACTGATGGGGCTTTGGAATCGTCTTTAGGAAAGAAAGGTCAGAGCGAATAGGAAAAAAATTAGAAGTCTATAGTTTTATCCTGGTCTGACTCCTTTTGCTGCTAGAATGCACTAAGATACCAGCTTGTAAAGAAGTAGTGCCTCTCATCTTTCAAAGCATCACAAATGTGGTGGAGGAGGATGAGACACTGCCCTTATCTTTGCAACATTTACTTGTCCTTTTCTTCCCTGCCTCCCGCTGTACCTCTAGCAGCACAAATTAAACCATGCAATCTGTCACAAATCTGAACTATTTTTCCAGGTGGACACTTGTAATTGTGAAGCACAGGTCTTGTGGGAGTGCAGGGCTCTCGTTCTCTTATTTGCGAGCTACGCTTCTTGTGGGCTCAGGCACAAACGAGTTGACTTTTCTCTCACACGCCCACAGCCGTGATATTATCAGTGAAAGTGAGCAGACTGAAAATGAGAAAGGGAGATTGATTTTTCTGTTTTCCTGCGAAGTCATTGCAAATTACTGTATGAGTCCAGAGAATGAAGAGCCCTTCCCTCTGCACAGATGGGCCTAATTGATAAGTCATACAGACTTGGTAGGAGAGTGGGATTACATCTAAAACTAATAATTAAGTTTAACATTCAAAGAGGTAAACGTTATTTGTTTTTTACTTTCCTTCCTTCCTTTTTTTCATGTAGTTCAGAGAAAACAATGATCTTAGGTGATTAAGTGTTTCAGTTCTACCAGATTCTTCTAACCACAGGAAAAATCCTATAACTTACTGGTATAAGATAAAAAGAAGAGATTTTCTTTTTGCTCTGATTTAGTAATTGCACTTTCTCACACAGATTTTGGAATTTTCATGATAAGGCTTAATCATCAAAATTATACAAAATCCACAAGAGCGCTTCTTGACCTGAAGTAAGAAACAATATGCATAAAACTTTTAAATAATCAGATTTTTTGAGATGTACCCAGTATAACTGTGCAGCTTATGGAAGGACCAAATTAGTCACCACTTGCTTTGAAACACATGTTAAAGTAAAAACCTTTAAATCAATACCTTTTGGTGTCAAGAAAAAGGTTTGCAGTAGAATAAGGCAATAATTATTAGAAAGACAGGCTGATAAAAACTAATATATTTAGTTCCCATACATTAAAAAAAGGTAAATTTAAGATTTTTTTCAATATATTTTCAATATTCTAACTATAATATTCTAACTGTTTTTTGTATGAAAAAAGCACAGCCTTCACATGCTTTTACAATGTTTGTACTAAATGCGTATTTAGCTGCAAACCTAAAATTGAGGAGGATTTCACACCACGATGTGTTTATTATTATATATGTATATTTATATTCTTTTTTTTTTTTTTTTTTTTTTTTTCTGTTTTCCATCTCTAATAAGCGTTTTGCTCACAAAGTAAAAAAAAAGAAATTTTTTAAACATAATTTTGATATTTTTATGCAATTAATATGTTCAATAATACTAATATAAAAGCATGTGAAATGCTGTTGTAGTTCTATGTGGTGCAAATACAGATAATGGATTTTGACATTTCACTTAAAAGAGCTTCATTTGTCCAGGAAAGTTTGATCTGTTTTGTTTCAATCTTTGAAAGTAAATGAGACATATTACTGGTTGTATCTTTAGTTATTATTGCATCATCATTAATAAAGGCACTTGATTCCAATCAGTAGTTTTTCCACCAGTCCTTATCTGAATGTCTGCATTTATTCTGAAAATTGTAAATCATCAACAAAAACTATATTCAAGTTATTTTATTGATAACCACAAGACATATCATTAAAAGGATTTGGTCTTTAGATGGAGTTTTAATACATATTGCCACAAAATCATTAACATGGGTACCATGAAAATATCTTATATTAAAAGTAGAGTATACACTCTTACAATTACTGTGTTTGCTGTAATGCAGAGCCGTTTATTAAGAGGAATTAAATGACTTAAATAAGACAATCTATAATGAAGAACTATACAACAAAAAACTTTAAAAAAAAACAACAACTATTTCACTATTAGGAGAAAGGAAAAAACTTAAATGAAGAGCATGATTCTTTTCTAATTGATTTACTCATGTAGAGCCCACAGTAATGCTAGCAATTCAAGCAGTGCTTCACACTTGGCTGCACTGCTGAGTGCTTTGTCAGACTTGATGCCTTATGATGACACTTAATACATCACCTCTTCAAGGCATTTGTGACACAATGAAACAAACGTGATGTGACAACCGAGTCACATCAATCCAGCTCTTCCACACCATCATAGACAAGATGGTGGTGGATGCGAGTGTGCAATTGTAAGTGACAGCATAAAAGTGGCACAGCAAAATAAAACAGAAAAACTTTTTTGAGTTTGTAAAAGTTTGTATCCTGGTGATTTAGTCTACCTGACAGCTGATCTCACCTAACTAAGACCCAACAGCAGCTCAGTTATAACTACCAGCCCTGTTCTGTGTGCACATCTTTGCTCCCATCCTTTATCTTAATTCCTGCTACCAAGGAATTGTTTTGACCTTTTTTTTTTTTTTTTATAGTGTCTCTTGATTTCCCTCTTGGTAGAGGACTGAACAAGGAAGCATTAAAAAAGGAACAATGAGCTTGATGCAGAAGAATGTTGTCAGGTTTGTTTGTGCCCAGGAACTGAACTGAACTGCTACCCTGTCATGTAAGGGATGGAAAAATAAATGTGACATTACTAATCAAGCAATGTCATACAGCAAATGTTCACTTCGAATCAATCAACATTCATTTAACCTGAAACAATCAACAAAGGTTCCGTTATTATATGAAACTAATCCCTCAAGCAGCCTCTTTTTTTTAATACAACTGGATTAC